AGAAGGTCTATAAACATCCACACGCAGGAGAATTGTTTGGCCTTGCAGGTGAAAACTTTTATAGTGAGTAAATAGGATAAATTCATATATAAAATAAGAGATATCTAAGTTTTCCGACCACACATTATAAGCAAAATAACTTGAATCTGAATGATAAATAAACTAAATCTAATAACTCTCATTTATGAAAAAAAAGTTTAAATAAAAACTCTTAGCCTACAAACTTCATAAATTTCATGTACGATTATAACTATTTTTGAAATCCTAAGATAATTTCACAGCTATCACCACAAGGGGGCGATGTCAGACTGCAAACCAGTATATGATGTAAGCTTCCTGCTCCCAGACTCATAATATCAGGTTAGAAAGGAGCATTTTGAAATGTCCCTGCTGCTCATCATGTAGGTGTGCTGGTAAATTCTCTGAGTTTAATATTTATTGTTTGCTTATTCTATGCAGTTTCCCACTGTACCTTTACTAATATGTAACTATCAGCTATTTTTCAGATTCTGTATTATCAAAAACTCAGTTCTAATTTTAGCTCTTTCCTTCATGTCAGTGTTTTGCTAAATAAGTGTAAGTTTGACAAATAAGCAAACATTTAAAATGAATGTTTGGCTGTCCAATAAACAGAATAGCCAGTTATTTATAGATATTATAAACTACGACTGATTGAAGCAAATTATGTAAACAGGAAATGAGTTTGGCATTAGTTTGTTGTTTTGCATTTAGTTTCCCCAGAAATGGTTTGATCTCCATTTGGTTTCCAGTTTGGGTTTTAATATTTATTTGCTGCATTTCAGGCTCTGATTCTGGAGCATGACAATGAGCTCTAGATCATAATGATATTTATGTATTCACTTAAGTTCTTTTATATTGTGCCAATTCACAGAACGTAAACTCAAGGCACTTTGCAAAGAAAATTGCAAACCCTATTTTCCTAACAGATCGCTTCAAAGCTTTTTTCTACAGAAAACCAGCTGATTGCATCCAGTCATTGACTTTAAAGGGATAGTTCGGGATTTTTGACATGAATCTGTATGGCATCCCCATCACCAGTGTCATGCAATCACACTGACTTACCCCTGGCAGCATCCTGTGAGCAGAGTTCTCGTCCAGCTTTGGTCAAGCCGAAAGTAGTCCGGCAGGTTTGCTAGACCCAGCGAAATAAAACGTTTCTCTTCCCAAAACATTATGTGTTCAAAAGAGCGATATTTTTGCATCCCAAAAACATTGTAGTGGAAAAAGTCACACGTCGTTATCACTTGGTCCTATTTTCTCTCTGTTCGTATCAGTGCGCGCGACACCATGACCTGACAGCTAGGGCATACTAATGGAAGGTGTTGATGGCAGCAGCACAGCAGATATTTCTCTTCAGGATGGTGTCACAGCCAAACAGGAACAGACCAGATGAAGCTACTATGATGAGAAAAGCCAGAGACAACATAAAGTTAGAGATTGAACTAACAAATACCGCAGAACGGGAGAAAAGACATAGAATAAACCAGAATGCTGAAAAGTGTTCTCTATGTCCTCCAGCGGTCTAAGCCTATAGCAGCATAACTCTAGAGATATAACATGCTTTAAGTGCAGGTTTCACTTCAGTAAATTATCCATAAGTTTATTTTATAAATCAGTAAAGAATATTTTTATGTAAATTATATATTCCGGAGAGTTGTGCCAAGCATCCATGCATAAAGCTAATGGAATCAGATTATTATTTTTTCAATATTTTTAATATTATTTTAAAATATTTTTATGGTCTACAGTCATGGGTAAAACCGCTGACCTCACTCACTCTTGTATCAGCGTTTAAATTGAAAGTTCAGTGGAAGGAAAAGATGTGGTGCAAAAGTAAGAGAGAATCATTTACCTCTAATAGAGGTTAAGACGGAATTCATTTTAAGAGATTGTTTGGAGATTTTCAAGATGTGGGATAAGGTTGGAGTCTGAGCATTAAGAGTCACCACATACATAATGATCCAAGTCAGAAACACTAACCCCAACAAAGAAAAAAACCTCTGGACTGTTTCTCAGTGGTCCAAAGTCCTACTTGGAGATGAAATGAAAGTTTGCATGTAGCTTGGAAATCAAGGTCCCAGTATACTGGAATCATCTCCTGGTGTTGGTCCACAGGGTTTTCAACAAAACAAACAACACATACAGGTGCTGGTCATAAAATTAGAATATCATGAAAAAGTAGATTGATTTCAGTAATTCCATTTAAAAAGTGAAACTTGTATATTATATTCATACATTACATACAAACTCATATATTTCAGATGTTTATTTTGTTTAATTTTGATGATTACAAATGACAACAAATGAAAATCTCAAATTCATCATATCAGAAAATTAGAATATTACTGAAGACCAATAAAAACAAAGGATTTATAGAAATGTTGGCCAACTGAAAAGTATGAGCATGTACAGCACTCAGTATTTAGTTGGGCCTCCTTTGGCCTGTATTACTGCAGCAATGCGGCGTGGCATGGAGTCGATCAGTCTGTGGCACTGCTCAGGTGTTATGATAGCCCAGGTTGCTCTAATAGTGGCTTTTAGCTCTTCTGAATTGTTGGGTCTGGTGTATTGCATCTTCTTCTTCACAATACCCCATAGATTTTCTATGGGGTTAAGGTCAGGAGAGTTTGCTGGCCAATTAAGAACAGGGATACCATGGTCCTTCAACCAGGTACTGGTAGCTTTGGCACTGTGTGCAGGTGCCAAGTCCTGTTGGAAAATGAAATCTGCATCTCCAAAAAGTTGGTCAGCTGCAGGAAGCATGAAGTGCTCTAAAACTTCCTGGTATGTGGCTGCGTTGACCCTGGACCTCAGAAAACACAATGGACCAACACCAGCAGATGACATGGCACCCCAAACCATCACTGACTGTGGAAACTTTACACTGGACTTCAAGCAACGTGGATGAAGTGCCTCTCTTCTTTTCCTCCAGACTCTGGGACCTTGATTTCCAAAGGAAATGCAAAATTTACTTTCATCAGAGAACATGACTTTGGACCACTCACCAGCAGTCCAGTCCTGTTTCTCTTTAGCCCAGGCAAGACGCTTCTGACGCTGTCTGTGGTTCAAGAGTGGCTTGACACAAGGAATGCGACAGCAGAAACCCATGTCTTTCATACGTCTGTGTGTGGTGGTTCTTGAAGCACTCACTCCAGCTGCAGTCCACTCTTTGTGAATCTCCCCCACATTTTTGAATGGGTTTTTTTTCACAATCCTCTCCAGGGTGCGGTTATCTCTCTTGCTTGTACACTTTTTTCGACCACATCTTTTCCTTCCCTTCGCCTCTCTATTAATGTGCTTGGACACTGAGCTCTGTGAACAGCCAGCCTCTTTAGCGATGACCTTTTGTGTCTTGCCCTCCTTGTGCAAGGTGTCGATGGTCGTCTTTTGGACAACTGTCAAGTCAGCAGTCTTCCCCATGATTGTGTAGCCTATAGAACTAGACTGAAAGACCATTTAAAGGCTTTTGCAGGTGGTTTGAGTTAATTAGCTGATTAGAGTGTGGCACCAGGGGCCATCAATTTTGAACCTTTTCACAATATTCTAATTTTCTGATATGATGAATTTGAGATTTTCATTTGTTGTCATTTGTAATCATCAAAATTAAACAAAATAAACATCTGAAATATATGAGTTTGTATGTAATGTATGAATATAATATACAAGTTTCACTTTTTAAATGGAATTACTGAAATCAATCTACTTTTTCATGATATTCTAATTTTATGACCAGCACCTGTATTAGGTGCAGGAAACTATTAAAGCAAACTTAACTTCCTGAACATCTCGGTGGAACCACAGGCTCCATGCACTGATGCAGTAATTCATGTGAAATGAGCCCAGACCCAGTATTGTGAAGAACATGTCTGTTCTCTTTAGAGTCAGATTTCAATATAAAAATATTCATTCGAACTCTGGATTAGAGAAACATTTTAATTATCTTTTTTCTTATAGAAATAAAAGCTTCAAATGTTTTAGTGTGTCTATTTAATCTACATAAGGTTCATGTCATGATCTGGCCTGTTTGCTCTCCCTTAATTAGTCATTCCTTTCACCTGTCGTTTTCCTTCCCTGCCTCAATTATAATTTATTCCTCTCACCTGTTTCCTCTGGTTTATATTCAGTTCAGCCTGAGCATTCAGTACCAGATCATTAACTGTTTTTCTATTAGCCTGTCCGTTCAGTTTATTTCTTGGTTCATGTCCCGGACCCTAGCGGCCAGTGGAAAGCGGTTTTTGTGTCTGTCTCGTCTCCTGATCGTCCACTGTTCCTCCCCTGCTAAGTCCTCTGGGTTTTTGCTTCATTATGTGGGGAGGTTCAGTTTTTATCCAAGTAAGCCTGGCTCCAAGGTGGCGACCAGTTTAAAGGTCCTGCATCAAGTTCTGGTTCCACGTCCTGTCTCGGCTACCCTCTTCCACTGGGCCTGCTCATCTGCAAACGATCCTGTCTGCTCCTGTGCGTGACCACCTGGTCACGCTTTCGGACCGTGTCAGACTCTGAACCCTCCTGGGAGCCTGTGGATGCCTGGAAGTCTGGATCCTGCCTCCTGTTTCTGTTCCTGATCTGGATCCTGTCCCTGTCTGTTCCTTTCTGTCCTGGATCCCTGACCAAGATCAGCTTCCAGCATGTCCTCTGGAACTGCAGCACTTGGGGACATTCTAGGACTGGACTGTTAAACCAGGTAAGTGGCCAACTCAGATAATCTTCTTCTGTGAGATGATCGTGGTCACTTACCTGTGTTTCTCCTGCAGAGTGTCTGTGATTGGGCGGTGCCCCGCTCCCCATCCTGCAGTATCCGCGAGCCACAGCTCCGCTTTAGTTTTTGTTTTATTTAATAAACCTTTTTGAACTTTCCTACTGACTGTCTCTCCTTGAATACTGGGTCCATCTGTCCTCGTTTCATGACAGTTCACATTTTTAATGTAGCCACTGAAATCTCTAGTAAAATGTTTCAAAAGCATCACACAGACCAGACAAACTTTATGGGGAAAAGGCTTTTTTATTTATTCATTTTTTACAAAAGTGACATACAAAAGGAATAATTCATTATAGGCAGCTATAAAACGCTTATATATACATTTACATCATATGACAGAGTTCATCTCCCCTCATTTTAAAGCTACAGTGTGTAATAATTACAGGGATATAAAGTCAGAAATTGAACATATTATACATAACTATTCTATTTATCATCACCTATGAGCTCAGCCTTTTAACCATAATATTTGCGTTGCCTTAGAGTTCGTTATTTATAATTACATAGGAGCGGGTCTCGCAGCCATGGAGGCAGACATCTTTGCGCTACGGCAAGCGCAGAAGCAACCAACTAGCGATTGCGAGATCTCCCATGACGCTCAAAAATAACTACGGCAAGTTGGGAGAGATGAACTGAGACGGTACTGAACAGTAGATGGCAGTATTATGCCTGAGAAGCGTTTAGTCTGCCTGAAACCAAAGAAGAAGAAGCAGGTATACTGCGCTTCAGTAACAAGAAAGGTGAACAAGGCGGCAGGCGTGAGTGACTTTGCAAACTGTTTGGCACTGTGTGGCCAAACATCAGACGAATGGAGGATCATGCCTACTCTGTATCACAACGAAAAGCGGCGGACACCGAACCCCCGTCATCTAAGAAGCGGAAACACGACGAGAATAAACGCAAGCGTGACAAGAAACAACAAAAAACACGGATCAACATTGGCACGGCATTTACACTATGGAAGTCACTGATGGAGGAAAAAGGTTTTCAAAGTGACGCTCAAGTTGCCAGTTTTCTGTTGGACAGGTAATTAATCCTACACACACAATTGTCTTTTTATAGACGTAATACCCCACCCCCACATCCCGTTTCAACCAAACTATTGTCAAGATGTCTGGTAGCATTACCTAGATAAGGCCACAGCTTCATAAAATTACCACAGCTGATAGTGGCATGTGTGAGTGTGAGAGAGACAGATATATGAAGCTGCATATTAGCGAGCTACGGATATATACCTCGGTTACTTCTCTCTGGCTCCTTTGGAGATCTTCAAGCCTTTCCTCCTCTGCTCTAGTCACCCCGCTGGCACCTCTCTCTCGCCTGGCCCTGGCTGCACGCCCACCCCGCCCTCTCTGCCCTCTTCCTCTCCCTCTTCCTCGCCTTGTAACCCCCGTGCCACAAACAAGACTTGGACTCTGTAAACGGGGAATATATACCGGTATTCTTCCAGCAAACACAATCTCGCTGTTAAACTAATGACTACAATTACTTCGTCTGTTTATATCACCATGCAAAGCAGCTCACCAAAACGTCACAACGACGTAGAAAAAAATAACCGGTATATTTATTATTATCAAATCTATACCCTACACAGACTAATGAAATACTATCTGTAAAATGATCTATGTAAACAAACCTCATGACTTGAGAAGGTAGGTGATGCGGACGTCGTGGAAGACATTTTGTCTTGTAACGCTCGCCGTATTGTTGGGGGGGAGAAGCGGTGGGGGGGAGATGTTCATGTTGCTGCAGTCTGGACGTTAGAGGTCGCTGAAAATTACACACTGTAGCTTTAAACCAAACGTGTCTGAAGGAGGCGACCGTTCACACCTCTGTTCCTCAGAAACAGCTGGACTGACAACAGATGCTGAATTCTAACATCAAAACTCACCCAACATCTGCTTCACATTGACAGTTTCTAAAAACACAAACGCACATCTGTTTTATTCCATTTGGATGCATAGCTTTGAGCACAGTTCTCTCAGGGGTCTATTATGCTTTGATTTTTCTTTTAGGCACCAGAAGCGAAACACAAAACCAGTTTCACCATCTGAAGGAAAGAAGCATCACCGAGTCCTACTGTGCAGCTGACACAGGAATCCAAAATACTTCAGGATTTAACTTTAGGAGTAACGGAGAGCGAACTGCGACAGGAGGTGAAAACCTTAAAACGTTCTGTGCTGGCAGGGGAAGTTTGAATTGATTGAGTTTAAAATAAACCTGATTGTTCTCTTGCTTTGTTTTATAAATCTACATTCATCAGGCGGTGTAATGAAATCAAAATTGTCTTGAAAAGGTGGTTGAACTCATCAGCCCTCAATAAACAAACCACCTGTTTTTATATTTTGATAAACAATCTGAAAACGCTATAAGGTGATAAAATGAAAACAATAGTTTAAGTTTTCTTAAGGGCAACATCTTCTGTTCCTGTTCCTTATCTCACCTTCAGGAGGACTAATTTACTTCCTGCTTTTAATGCAGGTAAAAATAACAGCCACGGCTCTGATTGCACTGCTGACTCTACAGCAGCCTGAGTCGTGGAAAGACTCCTAAACGACGTCTAAATACAGCTGATAGGTTGCTGCTAAGATTACGATCGAAGATAGCAGCCTGCCTGTTTCACAGCTCCTTAATCTGCAAACTTTGTTCAGAGAGCAAAACAAATTAGAAGAAAACACAAGAAATGCTGATTTTAATAGAGTAAGATCAGATTTCATGAGAATGCTCTTTTCAAATGAACCATTGTGGAATATAGATGTACTGAAATTAGATGGAAATTGGAACTATATGTGCTCTTTACATTTGTTGGTTTAAAAAAATATCAATAAATTAATCAGGTCCTGCAGTTTTATAACCTGTTACTGACTTTGGAGATTTATTTCCTCCCTTTTCAAATTTGACTTCCTGTTTAGTAGTTATTGTTTCATCTTTCAACATCAACATATGAGGCATGTTTCCTTCTCTACTCCATTTTAAAGGTGCATAGTCATGTTATTTGAGATTTTTCTTTTGTATTTATACACAAGTTGGATGCAAAGTTTCTTCTGAAAGATTACCATGTCCTGCTGGTGTATTATTTGTTATTGTTGTGTTTATTATTATTGTGTTTTTTAATAAATAAAGATCTTTGTGTATATTTACAGTAACAAAGGAGGTATGACCCTTCACATGTGTTCAAGGCGTAAACGTGCGGCTAAGCTAGTGCCTCCCAGCGAGGCCTTGCAGCACAGTTGGGCTCTATTAAGCGGTCACCATTAGGGCTTTCTGACAGTTCTGCGGTGCTGCCAGCAGATGGCGGTGTGCCTGTTTATGTCTGCTCATTCCACCCAGAGCTGGAATTCTATTTAGGCTCAAAAAGGATCATTTATATTGGGATAGACGCTTAGTGTATATATAACACTTATTTTGTCATGATCAAATAGTGTTTGCTATTCCTTCTAAAGACATATAACATGACTATGAACCTTTAAAAATATAATAAACAGGAAGTCATACATTTTAAAGATGTTAAACACGCTTTAGAAATTGGAGAAAAATAAATGAATCTAAAGTTTAGTTAACTTTGTATGATTCAAATTTTTAGTAGAGTTACAATATTTGGGACCTTTTATTTTGTTATACCCAATCAGGTCTTAGAGTTTTTTTTAAATTTAAAATACTTAATTCATAAATTATACATTTTTGGGACAAATCTGGAAGAAAGACATTTATTTGTATGCTTTCTAAATGGGGACATTTTTGAAGCGGAAACTTTAAAAAGCAATTTAGTTCAACATTTCAGTAATTAAACAGCCATTTTTGTTTAACCAATCAATTTATTTTGAAAGTCACGTGACCAATATACACTCATTTGATTGGCTGCTTGTTGTGCAGTCACCTAAAGGGTTCATTATTTTATTTTTTCATAACTGTTTTTTCCTCCTCACCTTCCCTTTGCTCTTTAGCGCCACCTGTTGCTTAGATGAAGACTTTGCAACAGGTTGCTCTTTTAAACAAAAGATAAAGGTTTGTATAAGTAAAACAGATTAACAGATAAAAAAAAAACTCCCCTTCAGCTGTTGAAAAAAAAATTAAAACTATGTTTGCTACTGTTTTGTTTAAAACAAATCCAAATTTCAAAGCAGCTTAAACATCAAATTTAAATATAACACAGTGAGTTTTAGGACAGAAACAGTCGAATGTTGCCAGACAACATGTCATCAGTGCACTGCCGGCAGAGGATCTCTAATGAACTTCTTTATTGGAGTACAAAAATAATCTTATTTGAAAATGTAGCAGTAAAGCAGTTTTTTTTACAAGGTGGAAACACCGTCAGCTAAAAAAGTGTTTTACCATCTAAGATTACAAAAGTTCGGTTTCTCAAATTGATTGTTCTGTCTGGCCTGAAGACTGACTCCTCCTTTAGTGCAATAAGAAGATAGAAAATTGGGAGTTTAAATCTAAGTTGAGTTCATATTTATTTACAAAAAAAAAAAAAAAAAACCTTGGAAATACTTTTTTAGGTGTCGGAAATTTTGAACTTACATGTCAGAATAAGAACTCTCTGGTTGAAAAAGAAAAGATGTTGAAATAAAATGCTGGAAGTCATGTTCAAGGCCTTAAAGTTTTCTGAGATTTCAAGTGTTGCTGTGTCATTCTTCCACTCTGACCTTCAGCCTCCTGTAAAAGATTCTCCCATCATTTGGCAGCAGCGTTGCTTCAGAAAACATCGTTTGACCGTGAAAGTTTCATTTAGCAAAAGCAGAGCACAGCCACCCAGAAACCTCTCATAAATTGGAAAACTACATCACAAAGAAAGATTTTAGCAGAACCGAAAACCATGTTTTTTTGTGAAGACAGTTCATAAACTGATGATGAGTTTTCATTTTTTTTTTCTCTCCTTCTCTGCACCACATCTCAGGAAAATGAGCATGAAAAAATTAACCTCTGACCCTGAATGTGGCTTTTAATTCCTCCCAACTCTGGTTAACACATTAGAGTGGAGCTGCTGCTTTCACACAATGTCTTTTATTAGATTAGATATTTTGGTAATGTGTGTTTGGTAAAAGCTTAACCTAAATCTTCTACATTCATGTTTATTATTTCAAGTTTGTACATGTTTAGCAACCTGAAGCTATTGGTAGAAAAAAAAACATTTTACAGGTATAAATAAACCATTGGGTGGGAAGAAAAAAAAAAGAAATGTGACATAAATTAATGTTATTTAATAGCTCTCAATGATCAAATTCAGTATTAGCCGCTAATGTGAGCTCCTGTCACTAATCGATCTATACCATCAGCTCATGTGCAACCAGAGATTCATCCATGTCACCATAAAAAAATTTATTATGGTTTGAAAAATACTTAATTCTACCCTTAAATCAAGTCAGATTTTTGGACCTTTTTCTTTGTGCTTTTGTCAAATTTTGAAACCTTGAGGAGAACCAACCTGAGAAAGCTCTGAGGGATAATAATAATAATATTCTGCCTCTTGAGTCAGCTAGTAATTAGCATATTCAGTTAGCATTGATTAGCATCTTCAGGCTAATTGCCTCTCCCAATCTTATACATTTTTAAATACAATGCTGGACATAAAATGAAAAATGCTTAGCAGTAGGTGCAAACTGATTATAAATGTCTCTATAAGTATCTCTATAAATGAGTTAATTCAAGCCTCACTTTCCTCAAACAGTAAGGCTAACATTAGCTTAACTCATATGAATTTCTAAATATAAAAGTCATTTTAAAACATATGGCTACTGCTGTGGGAAAACATTAATGACTGTGTTAAACCTAGTAATTTAATGATTACTTGATTTGACCAATTATTTTTTCCATGAGAAAATTTCAGGCTATTAGCCTGTTGCTATGCTAACATTGTAGGAAGAATGTTAGCATAGCGCTTAGGAAGAAAACAGTACTGTCTGAAGAGATGGGATTCGTGTCCCCTTTGTCAGATTTCTGACTTCATTCTTTCACAATTAAGATCTTCTGTTTGCTTTAAACCAAAGCCCAACACCAAAATATGCATTTTTATATGAAAAGGCTGATATTAAAAACTCGGACCAATATCAACATTCAATATTATGTATAACCCTTTGCTTCAGTTAAACATCAACCATCCTGAGCTAAAACATGATCAATGTGAAATGACCAGACAAAAATAAAACAAAAACAGCAGATGGATGAAAATAAACACCTTTTGTTACACTTAAAAAAAAATATTTACCACAATTTCTTTTTAATTTCAAATATATAAAGTTTATTGTTCCAATTGCATATTAATCGGGCTACCTTTATGCAATTCAAACAATAAACTTTATGTGCTTGAAATAAATACACCCATTAAACATACTTTATTAATGCTAAATACATAAACCTGATGATTATGTATTCAAATAAATAGCTATATTTTACTATCCAATATGCATAATATAAGGCTCATTTAATAGATGTGTGTTACAATGTCTAAAAAACTAGATGGGAGTAAATCTTATGATTGAGGTGAAATATTTTTTCTTGTGTAATATCAGCTCAGTTTTAATTATCGGACTTAAAAATGACCTGATACCGATATTACTGCTGATTTATCATGCATTCCTTTTGTCCGACCAGGACTTTCATTTTAAAAGATTTGTGTTTAGGACTCCTTTTCAGATGATTTATTGTATTTTTTAAGAACAAGTTTAAATAAAAATATTTAATGAGACTACTATTATTCCCTAAAAGGAAGCTAATAGTAAATCTAGCTGATTTAAATGCGAAGAAACAGACATTGTGTGAATGCAGGACTCTCCAACCATAGAACTGAGTAGCTAAGGGTTGTCTGGCTCCCCCTAGTGGTGCTGAGGCAGGGGGTCATGGCTGTGGCTCTGTATGTAGGCTATTGCGTCCCTGTATGTGAGGCCCAGCTGCGGCCGGTCGTACATCTCACTCAGAGCCTGAAACTTGGGGCCCCACCGGGACAGCCTGTCATAAACATAGCCTGCTTCATTCTCCTCCTCCTCCCTCTCCTTCTCCCCAGCAAACATTCTCCTGCAGGACACAGCCGACCCCAAAGAGCTCAGGCTTCCTGCCGAGGACCCAGACCCCTCCACGCACCACACATGGTAGGCATCTGGAGGGAAAGCGCCGCCGTCGTTGTCCGCCTCCCAAACGATTCGCTCCACGTAGCTTTTAAAGTCCACATGGGAGCGCGCCACAGGCGGAGCATCAGCATACCTGCCCGCCTCATTCATCTCCATGTCCCTGCCTGCCTGACAGGCGTAGTTGGCGTCGTTGCTGCAGCCGGCGCTGACTGCGTTCTGATGGTGGTGGTGGTGATGGTGGTGATGAGGGATGCTGAGGTAGGGAGCACCTGAGCTGCAGGAGGAGCTGGACGGATGGACCTCCTCCTGGGAGCCTGGGGAGGACTTGATGAGCGGGGCGGTGGTGCAGGAGGACGACTGGGATAGACTGGAGCACAGAGGACGCTTCAGCTCCGTGATGTCGTATGCATTCTGAAAGGGTGGAAGAAACAAAAAACATGTACTGGATAAATAAAATATCTCATTATCATCAAAGTGCTGCTGCAGACACAAGCATAAAGAGCTCATTTCTGTATGAACTCCATGAACTGGGTCACTTTAACCGCTATGCGACATGTTCACATTTCTAGAATTTTCAACTTTTTGTTTCCACTTTCCGTTTCTCCTTATCAGCTTATAGTTCTGCATCAATGTTTCGGCTTTAATTGCACAAATGAAACATTTCATATTTCTTTTTTAAAGGCATTTTTCAAGTAAGGTATTATTCACATAGTTTTAAAAAAAGTGCTGAATCTTGGAACTGTAAATTGATTCAAAGTGTTCTATCTAAGGAAAACCAGTTGATTGCATTGACTCAAATGCAATCCCTCACACTAAGCATGCTTGTAGCGACAGTGGAGAGCAAAAACTCCCTTTTAACAGGAAGAAACCTCCAGCAGAACCACACTGCAAAAACAATCCAGAAATAAGTAAAAAATGGCTTAAATTAAGTATATTTAGCCTTAATTTGAGCAGGTAAATAAGATGATTTGCCAATGGAATGAGTATTTTCACTCTTAAAATAAGATAGTTAGATAATATTTACTTGAAATAAGACGATAAAATAGTTTTTTCTTATTTTAAAAGGAAATTGTCTTGTTCCATTGGCAAAGTGTCTTACTTATCTCCTCAAATCAAGGAAAAACACACTTATTTTAAGAAAAAATAACTTATTGAGATTTATATTTTTTGCAGTGCAGGCTCAGTGTGAGCGGCCATCTGCTGAGGCTGACTGGGGTTCAAGGAGACAGAAGCAGAGATACATTTTATTGCTGCTGCACTTTAAAAATGGAAATGTCTTGAGAGCTATACTGTACAAAATTCTTTTTTTATATACATTCTGTGTGTACTAAATGACAGTAAAGTCTTTCTAAGTCTATTTAATGTTTATTAATTAGATTACAGTTGATTTAAAGGTATGGAGGGCGATCTTTTATTTCCGGGTGGATCATCTTAATAAGTGGTCCTCCTAATTGTCAATCATTGTGGTGATATGTTTACGTACACTGAAAAAACGATCTGAAATTAAGTAAAAATCTCTTAAATCAAATGTATTTACCCTTAATTTGAGCAGGTAAATAAGATAGTTTGCCAATGGATTGAGTATTTTTACACTTAAAATAAGTCAATTAGATAATATGCACTTGAAATAAGACAATGCAATTGATTTTTCTTATTTCAAATGTAAATTGTCTTGTTCCATTGGCAAAGCGTCTCATTTACCTCCTCAATTCTGGATAAAATGCACTTATTTTATGAAAAAAATGACTTATTTAGATTTACATTTTTTGCAGTGTAAGGCCGTCATGTTTGTGCCGTTAGCTATATTTTGTGCACATGTACACTTTCAGATGTATATCTGTGGTGAGCAACGGTTTCAGACAGTCATTGAACTCATTGACTCACCTTTTTGAAAATTGCTTAAAGAAAAAGTGAAGTGTACGAGAAGAAAATGAAAGCCTCAGAAGAGCCATATATATTTGCTGTAACAGCAGCCTACTGTGCTAGCTTGTGCATGCTTGTGCATCTTTTAAAAATTTTTCAAAAATCCTCCACAATAGCTTTAAAGGAATAGTACACCCAAAACATGATTAGCCTTCATTTTCTACTCACCCCCATGCTGAACAACACTCTGGAGTACTTTTTTGATATCTCAAATGCATCTGGAGATCTGGGAGGCTTCTTGCTGTCTGCTGACATTCAAATAATGGAGGTCTATGGCGCCCGAGGCAGAAAGGTCCATAAAAGTCCACAAAAAACGTGTCAATATTCCTCCATACTGCTCGTCCAATGTATTCCAAGTGTCCTGAGTGGGTAGCATCCAGAATTTACTCGAAACGAAGTCATTTAGAATGTTTTTAGAGCATAAACAGTAGTGTATAGGATTTCCTGAAAGCGCGCGCCTGCACGTTCACGACGCTACGGAAGCCGGCAGACCAAACCAGATGAAAGTGCGTATTCAGCGTCTGCTCTGCGGATAATGCAAGCGTAGAAGAAGAAATGTGCTGTTTACCTGTGCAAAGAAAGAAACAACGAAAGAAAAAAGTCTGAGGACTTCAGTGTTGAGGAAGAGCATGAGTTCTTTGCCGAGCTGAATGCGCACTTTCATCTGGTTTGGTCTGCCGCGGTTTCCGTAGCGTCGTGAACTTGCAGGCGCGCGCTTTCAGGAAATCCTATACACTACTGTTTATGCTCTAAAAACATTCTAAATGACTTCGTTTCGAGTAAATTCTGGACGCTACCCACTCAGGATACTTGGAATACATTGGACGAGCAGTATGGAGGAATATTGACACGTTTTTTGTGGACTTTTATGGACCTTTCTGCCTCGGGCGCCATAGACCTCCATTATTTGAATGTCAGCAGACAGCAAGAAGCCTCCCAGATCTCCAGATGCATTTGAGATATCAAAAAAGTACTCCAGAGTGTTGTTCAGCATGGGGGTGAGTAGAAAATGAAGGCTAATCATGTTTTGGGTGTACTATTCCTTTAATACTCTGTAGTCAGGTGCAGAGCTAGATGGGGGGCCTGGGGTGGGCATGGCCCCCCTTAGCCACCCCTTTTCCCCCCTCTAATACAGATGGTAGCAGCAGTAATACTCTGAAGGGGAATGTTCAAACCTATTAAACATTAAAATTTTTCATATATTAACAAAAGAAACACAGTGGTTAATTAACGCACATCAATATACTAACATTAAAGATGATAAGTGGAGAATTCACACTTTTTTCAGAACTAGATTTTGTGTAATTTGGGAAAAATATGTCATCTAGGAATCTTCAGTGAAATTATAGATAAATAACTACGTTATTAATAACTTAAACATTCATTAAATGTAGATATTAGTACATTTAAATATAATTTTTTTGCAGAATGATTACTGATAGAAGTAGGTAATGACAATGTAAAATATATCGCCCCAGAATCAGAACGCAAACCTGAAAGACTTTTCTCCACTATACCTTTTATTTAGATGCCATGGATATTTAAATATATACGTCTAAGAAAGTATGTTTAGTTTTTATTTATAAAATATGGATGTTGTGCTTGTTGCTGTTTGAACAGCGTAGATTGACCCTGAGGTTCTGGTGCCTTTCGGTCACCCCTCAATGTACATTGGTTATTAGCTGGCCGCCCGTATTAGGATTTTCTGGCTACGCCTCTGTCTGTAGTACTTTGTTTAACAATACCTGCCTTAAATTGGCTATAAGCTACTTAAACATTTAAATTATTAATTCATTTTCATCTTTATATTTTTATCTTTCTTCTGGCTCTCCTCGCAGACGCCGCCCCGAACTAAAGTATGGGTCGGTTGGTTCCTTTGAAGTCTCATTTTCTTTTAATTGGAAGCTTCAAATATGTGTTTTTGTTGCTTTTGTGTTGTAAATATTGCTTTGATTTGAACAAAATGATGAAATCATCACTTGGATAATAATAAAAAAAGTGTGCTATCAAAATGAATTTTAGATAAATATAACTGCATGATCTAATTTTAGATCAGCCTTACTTGACATTTAGCTGTGCCACTGTTGATGGCTTGATGAACCAGTATAAATATTAACAGTGTGGTCTGAAACAAGTTCACATATTAACACCGTGAACACGTCCGTTAGTGAACGGTCAGATACCTGGTCCTGTTCTCCTCCTCCTTCCTCGTTATAGTTGAGGATGTTTTCCCGGATGTCTTCCCAGCTCTGGTGTTCAGCAGGAATGTGATAAACTCCTCGCTTCCTGAACTTGTTTCTGCTTCCTTTCTGGTTCCAAACCGTCACCGCTACCAACACGACTGCACACATGGAAACACGTTGGACATAAGATGATTAGCAAAGCAACTTTATATGGAAAACGTTCCAAACCGGCTGATAAGTTAATAATCTTCATGGCAGAAATATTAATCTCACATTGATATTTACTTCAAAGAAACTGGAATTACCGAAGGTATGGAGTGCCAAATGTAAAAATAAAAAAATAAATATGTTGCATTCCTGTTATTTAGAAAAATCCCTTTATATTTAATTATTTTTCTGATATTTAGATGCAACATATAAACATATAAAATCTATATCTAAATTAATATATTTAATCGATCTCTACATCCTATATCTATATATGAATATTACATTTATATATAAATCTTAAATCTATATCTCAATCTATAATCTAATTATATATCTTATATCTACATTTTTATTTTAAAACTTAAATCTTAAATCTAAAGAAATTATTGAAAACAAAAACTTAAAACCAAATATGAATGTTGAATTCATAATTTTTATTTAAATTTATTTATTGAATCTAAATGTTAAATCTGAATCTTAATCTATATTTTAAAACAAACAAAACTTAATGTTCAATCTTAAATCTATTCTAAATGTGAACATATTTCTATATCTACGGAAGAGGATTAGGGCCACTGAAGAAAAAAGAAAGTTAACTGATTTTTAAATTTTATTTCAGTTTAACGTGGGAAAAAAGTCAGAATTCTGACTTTTTTCCTCAGAATTCTGACTTTAATCTCAGAATTTTGGATCTTAATGAAGGAAGAGATGTGGAGCACTCAGCTTCACTGACAAAGATGTGAGATGTTTGAGAGGGCCAGTGACACATTGGTGGAAAATTACGGAATTACAGTAGGCAACTTTTTACGTCCCCTCATTAATGGAGGAGCAGAAGGTCGTTATAACAAGAGAGCTAGTCTTTAAAACAAATATGGCTATGGCTTGATGCTAACATGTTTGTTATCTGTCTGAAAAAAGTCAGAATTCTGAGATTAAAGTCAGAATTCTAAGAAAAAAGTCAGAATTCTGAAATTAAAGTCAGAATTCTGAGATTAAAGTCAGAATTCTGACTTTTTCCCATATTAAACTGAAAAAAATATGTAAAAATCAGTAAACTTTTTTTTTTTCAGTGGCCCTAATCCTCTTCCGTATATATCAAATCTAAATCTGCATATCTATATTCAGATAAATGTAAGATTTACATATAAATTCAAGATTTAAATGTGAGATAATCATTGATTTAACATTTATATCTATTATTTGCCAATGTTAGAAAAAAGCACCAAATATGAAGAAAGAAATAAAACGGCAGAAATTGTTTCGCTATTTTTTTTTGTTTAGTTTGGTACCCCATAGAGGTGTGTTACAGACAAATAGCAAAACATTTACTTGAACTAATAGAGGTAATATTGCTGAAAAAAACTACGATAAATAAATAAATAAACCATGCATGTTGGTAACTGTCCTCTATGCATGTTTGGAGATGAAACCCACAGTGGGAACAGCCTGTGCCTGAATCCATCAGGAGCTTAGGGGCTGTTGGAAGCAGGCAACAAAGGTCAGGCTGATCTGATGACCAGTCGGAAACTTTTATGTAACTCTGAAGCCAGCTTTTCAGTGCGAATGGAAAAACCATTGATGATCAAACTGTTACACAAGTTAGAGCTGCAGGTCATTTCCTATCAATTACCTAGATCAGGAGTAGTTCACAGTTTCAATCATTTTTAAAAGTGTAAATCTGTCAGCTAATATTAGCTCACATTTAACAGTTTTTCCCTATTGAAATTTATACTCAAAGTATTTGAACATGCTTTATTATAGTGCGTTTTATGCTTTCTCGTTTAAATCAAACCTTGTTTTTGGTTTATTTATGGATGACGAGTTGGGCGGGGGTTTGTCAAAACAGTATAGGATGATTTCTTTGCTTATTGAAATGTTTAAACCTCAGAATATTCCCTTAGCTTTGTATGACTTAAACATAAACAACATCAAATACTGTTAAACTTCCTCAAAGACTGGCTTTGATTGTTTTATTTAATGAGTTATTTATCAGAAATCTGACTTTTTCATGTGCATTGCTGTTGGACTTCAGATAAAGCCTGACAGAAAACCTGTGGGCTCTTTGTTTGAACTAAAAAAGCGGACAAAGAAGCAGAATATTGATCCTCCTTGATTTGCATCATTCCAGAAGGGGTGCTAAGATTGCTAATAATAGCTCTCACTACGCACGTCTCTATTTTACTTAAAAGTTTTGATTCCACCAATCAGGGACTCAGCTGCAGGCAGTCAGTGAGTGTTGCTGTTTGTGTAACTTTTACCTTTAGTATAACAGAAAAACCTGCTAATTTCTAATGTTGCTAATGCTGCATCTACATGAATGAGGACACACACTCCTCACAAGGAAAAAAAAAGCGGCATGAAAAAGGATCTGGATGAGTACTATTAATTTTTGTCTCATAAAAATGATTTGAAAAGCATTGCACTCTAAAAAGAAAATGCAGCCTCAACTTAAAGGTATAGAAGATGGTCTTTTATTTAAATTTGGATCATCGAAATAAGTGGTCCTCCTAATTGTCAATCATTCTGATATGATATATGCACTGCAAAAAAGATCTAGAAATAAGTAAAAAAATTCTTAAATTAAGTGTATTTACCCTTACTTTGAGTAGGTAAATACAATGATGCCAATTAAATTAGTATCCTTACACTTAAAATAAGATAATTAGATAATAGAACTTAAAATAAGACAATGCAATTGTTTTTTCTTTTTTTAAATGTAAATTGTCTTGTTCCATTGGCAAAGTCTCTCACTTTCGACCTCAATTAGAGAAAAAATGCACTTACTCTAAAAAATTACTTACTTAGATTTGCATTTTTTGCAGTGTGTGATATGTTTACGCAAGGCCGTCCTACACGCTCGTGCCGTTAGCTATATTTTTCTGTGCATGCGCACTTTCAGGCGTATATATGTGTGGTGAGCTACGGTTTCAGGCAGTCATTGAAGCTCACTTTTCTTACCGTGGTTCTTTGAAAATGGCATAAAAGAAAAAGTGTCAACGAAGGTTATGATAATAAAAGAAAGGCCTCAGAAGAGGCATATATATCCCAGAATGCTTTGCATGGAGTGCTCTCCTCTTAACCCTTTAAAGCCCGATCCAAGAATAAAACAAAACAGAAAATTACTTTTTTTTGGTTTGAATTCCTTATTTGGTTTTTTAACAAAATATGTAAAAAGAAAAAACAGAAATACATTTTTGATATTAATTATTTATTACTATGCGATAAGTCAAGATTATTTTTTGTGTAGTCTTCTGCCCTCTGTTATCAGGTGTATCTGATTTTGTATAATAGGATTTTGAGCAAAGTTTTTACCATTAAATTATGCAAAAGGTGTCAGACGCAAAACATTTCAGAAACCGTATGTATCAAATATGATACATTTGGCATTACAGGGTTAAAGCATTATGGGATTTGCTGTTACAGCTACTCGACAGCGGCGGCTAATAACAAAGATGGTGCAGGCACCGCGTGGTGGAGGAGGAGTTACGTGACCAACAGGGAGCAAAAAGTTGTGACCATCTGTCTGAACGGTCAGTTAACTGAGCTCACTATAAACTCAACTCTATAGTCCCCGCTCTATATAGTGATTAAGGGATTTAGGGGTTAAAATGGACGTTTGAACATAATAAGCTTGTATGAGCTATGAGAAAAGCAAAAATGTTGTATTAATTTCCAAAAAGAGTTTACAAAAACACGTTGACACGTGTTACACCATTACAACTTTTAAACAGAGCGTGCACGAGGAGAAATGGGCTGGTGCATGCTTTTGCGAGCACATTTTTTTTAAAGTGGAGAGGGCGGTTCTTTTAAAAAATCCTCCACAATACCTTTAAATTAATAATTACTTCAATTGGTAACAAGTAATTGAAATAAGTTTGCCCAACTTAATTTAGTTTTAAACTTAAAAACCTCATAAGTTAAGTTGGATCAACATGACCTTGCCATTTCCCTGCCGTAGCTGCAGTTTCTTTTTAAAGTTTTATTATTTCTATTTTTACATAAACATGTTTATGTAGAATAACAGGTTATGGCTCCTTTAAAACGATCAGAACAGTTATTATCGGCTCTTACCGATAAAGACAAGCAGGCACATGCTGATGGCCAGGATGGAGCTGGGACTGAGAGAGGCCATCCTCTGACCTTTGACCTGCCCCAGCTCACAGCGGTGACCCCTGAAGCCCTCCTGACAGCGGCATTGGTAACTGTCGGGGGAGAGTGCATGGCATACGCCGCCATTACGACAGGAAGACGGACCGCAGGGTGACGGAACACAACGCTGGAGACCCGACTCATCTGTTACTGTCACCTGCGGACCCGGACACCTGGGAAAGGATGGAGATCAGGAGAGAGGACAGGATGAGCGAATGCTACCAACGGCACCAAATTCCTTTAAAGGGTTTCATCAAACATGAAGATTTATAATTAAAATGAATTGTAGTGAGCGGGTTTGTGTTCCTGCGTTATTTACTTGCACTGATGTTTTCTCCACAGGTCGATGCAGCGCAGTGGGCTGCGGCACGGTTGGCTTCTGCAGGCGTCGCTGGAGCAGCCTGAGGTGACCCCTCGCCTCTCCAGCACCGTCACCAGGTCCAGACTCTGCCCGTCCAGAGGGAGGACGTGGCCGTTGAAGCGGACGTCCCGCAGACATCCTGCATCAGGAAAAGCTTTTATTCTACCGGTTTACAGCTTTTAACACAGCGGATGTGGGTCTGCCGCCATTAGGGAATAATCTATTAAGTCCAAAGCTAATAATTGAACCCTTTATGGTCCTCTTTCTAAAGTTTGAGCAAATACTTTTCAGAACGGCGCAGACCAAGAGCTCACCCTGAAAGTCGGCCTTCTCTCCGGCGTTCGGTCTGTTGCCGATCATCAGGCTGGCCGGATGAACCACAATCTCCCTGCGGCTCCCCAGCTGAGCCTGAACCTCCCGTGACCCCCCTCCCTTTTCCAACCGCAGGGTGAACGTGTTGTCGTGGCGACCAAGGCTGACCAAGACCCACTGTCCGACGTCCACTCTTTGAGCCGGGAGTTGGAGTGAATGGGCACCGTCTCCCAGGTTGGCGCGAACGGAGACGTGACCGTCAATAATCTGAGTAGAAGAGAAGAAGCAACTTAGTTACATTTTTCTGTTTCAATCAGGGTGTTTTTAAAACTCTGGTTGTTTGTTTATGTGAGAAAAGATGAATAGGATCCTTCTTTCTGTCGACTCTGGGTTATTCTATTTCAGAGTTTATACAGGAATAAGTAATTCTAATTTAATGCCTTTTAATGCTCTTCATATATATATATATATATATATATATATATATGAACAAAATGCCTCCAGCCACTTTTTTCGAAATTTGCATTTTCCCATTCTCTCGTTTTTTTTCGTCTCAAGCTTCTCTCTGAACATACGGCTTTACGATCAATCGGAAGCAGTTCCACGCAAACACGCAGAACCAGTTATAGCTGATATTCCTGACGAAAATGTTTTTATAAATGGATTTTCTTTTATATAAAGCATTTTAAATGCCACAATAATCACATTTAATGAGATATAATGCCAATTAAGGCCTTAATTCAAAACATTATAATTTAATTACTTTTAATAACCTCCTTCTGTTACAACGATTAGTTATGAAAACTGGAGAAGCTTGTGGGCCCTCCTTCAGGGATGGGAATTTTACCTCATCTTTGACTGGTTCATCTTAATTCCTGCAGGTCACACCATCAGTCATCTTTAAACCAACATATAAAGCTGAGAGCATGTGCCACATTGCAAAAAAAATAATAAAATCTAAATAATAGAAAAGAATAGAATAGATTATTATTATTGTCCCACAATAGATAAATTCTGTTGCTTACAGCAGAAAAAATTATAGAAAGAAATGGTCACACGTCATTTTTTGTTAAAATACATGCATTTATTCTTGAATTGAAGAGGTACGTGTGACACTTTGCCAATGACACAAGACAATCTACATTAAAACTAAGAAAAAAAAGCAATTACATTATCTTATTTCAACTTTATTTGATCTAATTAGCTTATTTAAAAGATAAAATACTGATTCCATTGGCAAATCATCTCACTTACCTACTCAAATTAAGGGTAAATGCACTTAAGTTGAGAAATGTTTTACTTATTTCTATATTTCTGTTTTTGCAGTGTGGAATACAGTAGTTAGTAAAATTTAACTAGGTTAACATCATGTAATGAATAGCGATGCTGGCTGATGGCAGATCTATCTGTCCTAGATCTCTGTCTTACACTATGGTTGACAATAGCAACAACTTTTGCCCACATTAAAGTCCATTTAAAATTACAAATGGACAATTAGAACTCTGGTAAGTAAAAGGCCAAATCTGAAAGTCAAACATATCAAAATGGGATTTTCGTAAAGGTTTTAACAAAAATGATAATAATACACATTAAAATCAGGGCAGAGCAATCAGTTGAGGCACACGTCATCTCAAGGCACTTTCCAGTTCACCAGATCATCCAGTCAGATTGATTAAAAGTTTTCTATCTAAGGAAAACCAGTTGATTGCATCGACTCATTGATTTGAAGGCAATCCTTCACGCTAAGCATGCTTGTAGCGACAGTGGAGAGAAAAAACTCCCTCTTAACAGGAAGAAACTTCTGCAGAACCAGGCTCAGTGTGAGCGGCCATCTGCTGAGGCCGACTGGGGTTCAAGGTGACAGAAGCAGACATACAGCATACCTATGGTATAAGTGTTGGTTTAAGCAGTTAAATATTCAGATATAAAGGTCAGACTAACCTCCAGAATGATGTACTCGTTGGCGTCCCGGGAGGCAACAGAGAGCAGGGTCCCTGACGTGGCTCTGGTTCGGAGGAGCATCTGGATGTTGGTGCGCCGGGAGCTTCCGCCTCCTCTGAGCTGTAAACGCACCACGCTGTCCGAGTCGAAGGAAAACTCCTGGACAGCTGAAGGGTGAAAAGACGAGTGAGTGTATGTTATATTTGTTTTTTTTTTATCCACAGGAGGAAAGTTTTACGAAACGTCCCTCACCTCTCTCACACTTGTGCCCGGTGTATCCGGGTCGACACTCGCAGCTGAAGGAGCCCCAGTCAGCGAGGCAGGAGGCGTGAATGCCGCACGAAGGACCGGCTGCCGTCACACATACTCCGTCTGTGGGCCTGCAACCCGGCGCACTGTCCACACTCTCACCTGGATTTGCCAGATCATACACCTAACAGCAAGAGACATGATATTCCTTTACCGCTTCATAGAAAACACCGACTGTAACATAAAACGCTCCGTCTGAAGATTTCCAGGCTTCATTCGCAGCCAACATTAGATTGGATTTTGTTTTAATTCTGCTGTTTTGATCCCTTGAGTTAAGAATGCAATAAGACTTAATTCGACATGCACTAAATTTTCACACAGGCCCATTGTTTCAGTTGGCAGGCGCGCTGCGGCAGCATTTTGTGGTGTGTCAGTCTCTGTTCGCACATGTGAGCTAAATTCCTCTAAAGCAATCTGGGAAATCGGCTTTGATTACACAGCAATGACAAGCGTGTGTTTTTTTGGGTGCAGGATTTCTCTCTTTTCAGGTTTCACAAGCAGCTTTGTAGTGCCACAACATTTTAGTGAAACAAAGTGAAGGCAAGGGTGTGAAATTTCTAAGATTTAAAAGGTTTCTTTTTCTAGAAGGAGGGATGTCACAACATTCGGAGAAACCGTTCAGGATTTAAAAACCCAATGGGGATTTTTTATTTATTTTTTAAATAACGTCTATATTTGGGAGAGGGACGCCTCCATAGAGACAGTCCATACTGGAAGTCCACACAAGACATTTTAGACAGCTTTGTGTACGTTTATTAACAAACAGTTCAGATAAGAACATCATAGATACAGAGGCAGAAAGAGAGTAAAGAAAATGTGTATTTTGATCCAAAACGCTTCGCAGACATCTATCATTTCCTAAATCCAATGAATAAATACAGGTGCTGGTCATAAAATTAGAATATCATGAAAAAATAGATTGATTTCAGTAATTCCATTTAAAAAGTGAAACTTGTATATTATATTCATACATTACATACAAACTCATATATTTCAGATGTTTATTTTGTTTAATTTTGATGATTACAAATGACAACAAATGAAAATCTCAAATTCATCATATCAGAAAATTAGAATATTACTGAAGACCAATAAAAACAAAGGATTTATAGAAATGTTGGCCAACTGAAAAGTATGAACATGAAAAGTATGAGCATGTACAGCACTCAGTATTTAGTTGGGCCTCCTTTGGCCTGTATTACTGCAGCAATGCGGCGTGGCATGGAGTCGATCAGTCTGTGGCACTGCTCAGGTGTTATGATAGCCCAGGTTGCTCTAATAGTGGCTTTTAGCTCTTCTGAATTGTTGGGTCTGGTGTATTGCATCTTCTTCTTCACAATACCCCATAGATTTTCTATGGGGTTAAGGTCAGGAGAGTTTGCTGGCCAATTAAGGACAGGGATACCATGGTCCTTCAACCAGGTACTGGTAGCTTTGGCACTGTGTGCAGGTGCCAAGTCCTGTTGGAAAATGAAATCTGCATCTCCAAAAAGTTGGTCAGCTGCAGGAAGCATGAAGTGCTCTAAAACTTCCTGGTATGTGGCTGCGTTGACCCTGGACCTCAGAAAACACAATGGACCAACACCAGCAGATGACATGGCACCCCAAACCATCACTGACTGTGGAAACTTTACACTGGACTTCAAGCAACGTGGATGAAGTGCCTCTCTTCTTTTCCTCCAGACTCTGGGACCTTGATTTCCAAAGGAAATGCAAAATTTACTTTCATCAGAGAACATGACTTTGGACCACTCACCAGCAGTCCAGTCCTGTTTCTCTTTAGCCCAGGCAAGACGCTTCTGACGCTGTCTGTGGTTCAAGAGTGGCTTGACACAAGGAATGCGACAGCAGAAACCCATGTCTTTCATACGTCTGTGTGTGGTGGTTCTTGAAGCACTCACTCCAGCTGCAGTCCACTCTTTGTGAATCTCCCCCACATTTTTGAAGGGGTTTTGTTTCACAATCCTCTCCAGGGTGCGGTTATCTCTCTTGCTTGTACACTTTTTTCGACCACATCTTTTCCTTCCCTTCGCCTCTCTATTAATGTGCTTGGACACTGAGCTCTGTGAACAGCCAGCCTCTTTAGCGATGACCTTTTGTGTCTTGCCCTCCTTGTGCAAGGTGTCGATGGTCGTCTTTTGGACAACTGTCAAGTCAGCAGTCTTCCCCATGATTGTGTAGCCTATAGAACTAGACTGAAAGACCATTTAAAGGCTTTTGCAGGTGGTTTGAGTTAATTAGCTGATTAGAGTGTGGCACCAGGGGCCATCAATTTTGAACCTTTTCACAATATTCTAATTTTCTGATATGATGAATTTGAGATTTTCATTTGTTGTCATTTGTAATCATCAAAATTAAACAAAATAAACATCTGAAATATATGAGTTTGTATGTAATGTATGAATATAATATACAAGTTTCACTTTTTAAATGGAATTACTGAAATCAATCTACTTTTTCATGATATTCTAATTTTATGACCAGCACCTGTACTGCTGTGTTGTTAAGTCTGTTTTCTAAGGAAGAGGATTAGGGCTACTGAATAAAATAATAAATAAAAAGTTAATTGATTTTTAAATTTTATTTCACTTTAATATGGGAAAAAAATCAGAATTCTGACTTTAATCTCAGAATTCTGACAGCTAACAAACATGTTAGCATCAAGCCATAGCCATGTCTGTTTTAAAGACTAGCTCTCTTGTTATAATGACCTTCTGCTCCTCCATTAATGAGGGGACGTAAAAAGTTGACTAATTCCGTTATTTTCCACCAATGTGTCACTGGCCACCTCAAATAACTCACGTCTTTGTCAGTGAAGTTGAGTGCTTCCACATCTCTTCCTTCATGGTGCTCATCTACATTAAGATCCACAATTCTGAGATTAAAGTCAGAATTGAGAAAAAAGTCAGAATTCTGAGAAAAAAATCTGAATTCTGAGAAAAAAATCTGAATTCTGAGATTAAAATCAGAAAAAGTTAGAATTCTGAGATTAAAGTCAGAATTCTGAGATTAAAGTCAGAATTCTGAGATCAAAGTCATAATTCTGAGATTAAAGTCATAATTCTGAGAAAAAAGTCAGAATTGAGAAAAAAGTCAGAATTGAGAAAAAAGTCGGAATTCTGAGATTAAAGTCAGAATTCTGAGATCAAAGTCAGAATTCTGAGATTAAAGTCAGAATTCTGAGATCAAAGTCAGAATTCTGAGATTAAAGTCAAAATTCTGAGAAAAAAGTCAGAATTGAGAAAAAAGTCAGAATTCTGAGATTAAAGTCAGAATTCTGAGATCAAAGTCAGAATTCTGAGAAAAAAGTCAGAATTCTGAGAAAAAAGTAAGAATTCTGAGATCAAAGTCAGAATTCTGAGATCAAAGTCAGAATTCCAAGATTAAAGTCAGAATTCTGACTTTTTTCCCCATGTTAAACAAAAAATAAAATTAAAAAATCAGTTAACTTTTTTTTTTTTCCAGTGGCCCTAATCCTCTTCCGTAGTTTTCAGCTGGTAGCTTTAGTCTCATTTTGACATGCTGATTTATGTATGGAACTATTCTAATGTACTGGAATTGTGAATATGACCAGTTTATAGATACATAAAAGGGGACCTGGTAAAACTGCTGATTTGATTTGAATCAGTTCAATCCAATCTAGTTTGATTAAATTGATTTAAATTCAATTTAATCAAACTACACCCTCTTAATCGTTGCCATACATAATGAGAAGGAAATTAGATAAAATAGATATAAATGGACAAGGAGAATTCGACTGAGGTGTTTTGTTTTTCATTTAGATAAAAAAAAAACAAATTTCCTTGTTATGACAGGTAGCAACTCTCCTTAACTTCCGGGAAAAGAAATATGCATAATATTTTCATAGAAAAGCAAAGAAATGATCATAAGCTCTCAGCAAATTGAAAACATCTCTAAAACACAGGGGATTGTGGGTAAATTAAAAGTGCCTGCATTAATATGCAGACACCAAAATCTTTAAACTTCTGCACACTGATTTTAAAGCTAAATTAACTTTCTTTCCTGGGGAATATTTTAGGATCTCTGGGAGCTTCTTGATGTTTTTCCTTCAGCAGCAGAGGAACCACAGCAGCTTGCTGCGGTTCAGGAAAACGAAGACGAAGCGAGCCTCTTTTCATTCATATTAAATTTAGGATGGTGAAGCTGTTCTATTGGCCTTGGCTGATGAGCAGAGCTCAGACCACCATCTGTCCGACCACCAACCCAACAGTGCAAAAGCACAAACACACAGGAGCTGGTAGGAGTGAATTCATGCATGTACAAACAGGTAGATGCCAGAATATCGACACTGCAGCTGCATTGCAAGAGAAGAAAATCACCCAGGAAAAGCGAACAATCCCTGGGATGGAAAGATAACAAAACAACTGTTTTCTTCTCTTCAAATACATTTTATTGATGCACTTCGATAAACTGAGATAAACAAGATTGGTAATTTTAATCACTACTTCATAACGCTAAATTCAACCTAAATCTGAGTCGATTCTAATTTAAAGCTGAAATAAAACTCCTTTCTCCAAAATGATAAGAACTTAGGAGGAGGGTTTGAATAAATTTGTCTCCTGAAAATATAAATATTTAAAGGCGAATAGTCTTGTTATGTGACTTTTTAAATGTATATGCCAGAAGCTCACCTTGTCTGCAAACAAAGTTTTTATTTCTGAAAAATTAAGCATCCTGCTGGTGGTTTTGTTGGTCCTCAAAAGAATGTCCTTTGTCCATAATGCGTAGATGGACATAAAAAGTTTATTTTGTCAGTTTTCTATTAAAAAATACGACTATAATTAATTGGATTGAATACACCACTAGTATATTTACTAGGGGTGGAACGGTTCACAAAATGGTTTCGTGGTCACGGTTTTCGGTTCGGTTCGGTTCGATTCGGTATATGTTGATTGTTAGACCGAAATCCCATAAAAATGTATGAAATTAATGAAAAAATCCCCCAAAAAATAATGAATTGTAATTATTTTAAATGATCCGCGGAAACCCTGGATCATTTCCGTATGTTTTGCTGCTTTGAATTTAATCATCTCGCGCATGCTCTCTACCATCTCCAAGGGACGGGAGCCACAGCGGAGGCTGTAGGCTTTGCTTTGAGCAGCCGGTCTGGAGCGCAGCGGGGCGGAGCGCTGACGGAGTATGAGGGATTTTGGGGTTAGCATGACATGTTGGTCATGTTGCTGTTAGCATAAACAAAACATGTTGCACAATGCTTGCACACTGTTGCACTTTTATCCACAACTTTCTTTCCGCCGTCATCGTAGGTCACTCTAAATGCAAAGCGGTCCCATACAGCAGACCTATAAAGTGCTACTGGCGCGTCTTCCAACTCCTGTTCTTTCCAACTCGCCATACCCACACAATTCTCCACAACAACTGATTTTTTTTCCCTGCTACACCCGGCTACGCTGCTTCGCTTCTTCTTCTTCTTGCTTACTACTGGTGGTTGGCTTTGGTCGCAGTACCGCCACCTTCTGCTCTGGAGTGTAAACGCTTCCCCTATGAGAAAAAGGAGCAGCGCATGAACCGAACAAAACACACGCGAATCGAACCGAGACAGTCGAACCGAACGGTTCGGACGGTTTTCATAAATCGTCCCATCCCTAATATTTACTATTACAACAGTATGACAAGAGGAAATTCTATTTAGGCTCAAAACTGACTGTAAACACTATCAGGACAGACTCTTGGTGTATATAAGCTCCTTTTGTCATGATCACTTGGTTGTTGGTCTTTTTTTAGATTAGATTAGATGAGCTTTATTGATCTCACAGCGGAAAAATTCACTGATCACATAGTGGCATAGTAATTAAAGAAGGCGCAAACAAGGAGGAAAATGTGCATTAAGAATAAACAAGCAAGCACTGTATATACAGTATATGTATATGTTTGTATATGTTTGTGTTGTTCTATAAAATAAGGTAATTATGCCTTTTAACAAACTCTCTCTAACACACATTTCCTACCTGACTGTCGACTACGAGGTTTCGGATGCATCCAGTAAAGCTCCGGTAACGGCGGTAGGGAGACATTTCCTTCACCCCTCCCAGCTGGAGAGGCTGGTGAACATTTAAATACCTGAGAGGAAAAAAAAATCAGAATAGTTGTTTTGTTTTTTGTTTTTTATTCTAGGTTAACATAATTATGTAAAGTGAGCTTTCATTTTACCGCTGATTCCCCGGCGTTTCTCCTGCAGCTCTGCAGCCGGACTCATCGATGCCTTGGGCCTCACCTCCAACACCTTCCATCTCATTCACTGGAACCCCACCACACTGGTCCAGAATCATCTGCACCAGCTGAACAGAGAGGGAAGACAACAGAAACTTTCATAAAAACTGAGTATGCCAACTTAAAAGCTGGTACTGTTGATCAAACACTACTAACTTAAAAAGGTAGCTTGATCTATAACAGAGAAAGGTCTTTAAAACAGATTTAGAGAACTAAAGCTTCTTTAAAAAGGGGTTTAGACCCGAGACTTGGCTTTATCTCAGACTCTATCTGCTTGTTCATGAGCTCCTACTGTAAGTACACTCAGAAAAAACTGAACCTGCCTTCCTTGTTTGCAGGAGATGCCATGAGCAGCAAAAGTTGAGTTTATCCACTACATCTAAGTTATTTAATACATAATACTCTCAAAGGCCTGGAAAGATGACATTTTTACATTAAGGCAAGAAACAATATTGTGGGAAACCAAACACAAACCAACTATGCTAATGAGGCGGTAATCATTGAGGTTCCTCTGTGTTCTAGAAGAGCCTCAATTTCTGCATAATGTTTGCAAATAAAGTTGAAAAGTTACTAATTTGATGCAAACAAAATCTTAAAAAGGTCAGAAGAACTTGTGTTGATGCTCTGATGATCCTCCAAAAAACCCCAAATAAAATCAGACCTATAGACACGATATTCCTTTTCATATTTGTTATCTTTCATATGTTATATATCTGCTGTCATACAGTATCAGTCACCATCCATCTCTCTCTGCCTTACCTTTCCATCACTGATTATGTCCAGGCGATGCCAGCGTCGATCGTTGATCGCTGCTTTAGGTGGAAGCTGAAGGGTCAGAGTTCCTGATCCGTGGTTTATACTCAGAACTGGAACGCCGTTTCTTAATTCTGGATAAAATGTGAAAAGGAAAAAATCTGGGTTGTAAAATTCATATTTATTCGTTTTTGTATTGCAGGGTTTTCCCCCAGCTTATCATAAGCCTGGCGGGCCATCAAGCTTTACTCGCCCCCTGCCAGTATAACACACAATATCTGTTGACATTTAAAATGTTATAGGCTTGAAAGCTTTTCCTGAAATTTAAGATTCACTAAATAATTGTACAGGTTGTGGAAGGCGAAGTCCGAGATGCCAGACTTCAATCGGCAAAAACAAGCTAGCAGGGAAATTATAGGGATCCTTCACTCCAACAGGAGAACTTTTTACAATTTAGTGAAAAACTCTCCATCTAAACCCACATTTACTCTAACCTTCTGGAAGTGTGCAGAGAACGGTCCGAACACGGTAACCGAGATAACTGTTGAACTGGACCATGCAAGACACAACTGCATCGCACTAAATCTAGAACTAGTTCTCGGCTCGGCACGGTTCATCTGTAGCTCGGTTCTCTCATAACAAACAGCGCATGAGCAGACCGCGTCATCTCCTATTTATAGTCAGCTAATAATAATGATAACAATGGAACTGTATTGATCACACATTGGAGAAATTTACCTCTGCATTTAACACATCCTCTTGGGGAGCAGAGGGCTGCCATTGTGGGGCGCCTGGGGAGCAGTGTGGGGTTAAGAATCTTGCTCAGAGTCCCAAAGTGCAGAATATGGGGATCTAACTGGGTACTTGCAATCTTCTCAAAGCAAAAGTGCACTGCTCTAACCACTAGGCCAACCCTCCCCTCCAGCTGACTCATTTTGCAGGTTTTCCGGCATGTCCGGCTTTTTGCAATTCACAGATCTCTTCACCTGTTCACAACACAAACTTCTTCTTAGAATTTACAATAAATGGCATCACAAGAGCGTTGTGCGACCTGGGATGATGCCGAGACAGAGGCTCTCATTATATATATATATATATATATATATATATATATATATATATATATATATATATATATATATATATATATATATATATATATATATATATATGTCTTGTGCGCTGACACTGAAATTTAATTTATGTTTTGCCATTTTTAACAATTATGTGTTTTCACATTTTTCTTTTTGTATTTACTCTGTCTTTTTAGCTTTATATATATATATATATATATATATATATATATATATATATATGAAATTTGGGCGGAGGAAGCCACCCAGGCACATAAGTTCCTGAATGTTATGGGCGCCGCCATTTTTGTTTGTGTAATTCCCTCCTTGAGAGCTGTAGTACTGTAGCCTGGGTGCCATTCCGAACTTAGTCCCGCCCACAACGTTTGAGGTCGGGAAGTTCGGTCTGGCATTGCTCAATAGTAGGGCGAGTATTAAAGCCCACTCTCTGGCGATCCAATCAAATTGTCAGGGCGGGCTTTATACGATGATGGACAGATGATCAACAGTAACGTAATCAACCACGTGACCAAAGCGCGCATGGGCGACAACAACAATGGCTGCCGCTGGAGAATTTAGGTGTGTAGATTCTGCTATTAGGTCTGTTCTAGAAGATATCGACAGCAAATTAATTTTAAAAGAGGAACAGAGAAACGCGATCAAGGCTCATCTTCTTATTATAGGCCGTGAAACTGCACGCTTTGATTTTTGTGGACAACAACTATGCCTCGCTTAACATACGTCACGCACTCCGTTGCTCTTATTGGTTGTAGGTCTATCCAATTTAGTGCAGAGGCATTTTTTTTCTGGTTCGTTCGAAACACGCCCCATAATCACAGCTCTATGGAGCAGCATCAGACTCATATTCTGACTAGAATTTAGTAGGACTACGTCAGGCTAGTACCGTAGTACTGTGGACCAACGACGGGAGGAGAGGAACCATGCTAGGATGATGTGTATGTGATCGTAAGAACCAAGCTCTGCACGTTTAAATTATCGAAGCTCGGTCCAAACTCAGCACGGATCGGTTTCAGAGGGGTAGTGGAAATGGGAATAAAGTATTACTCAACAAAAGACATACTTTAACACCTCTGGTTTGTGTGTTTGTCTCAGTAAATTGTTGAATCGAATATAAAAGATGGGCTCTGAAATGTTGAAGTATGCTCCCGCATCATGACTGTATTGCTTAGTAAGCTGCTGAATCTCATCAACAACAGCAGAAATCCCCTCAGCCAATACTTGTGTGTTTCTCCTGATAGTCTTGCACCTGCTGTCCCAACTCGTGTCAACGTGCGCGTGTGTTTGACTGTGCGTGACCAGATCAGTCACAATATTGAACATCTAAGTGAAAAACGGCTCAGAAACATCAATGTTCTTGTCATCTTTGATTATCATTTCCCCAGATCCGTTCAGCAGCGACCCGGGTTCGATAATTACATAACGTTAATGCCACAAGATTATGCAAGAAGCGTCTGAAAGGCCATCGGCAGGCTAATCCATTAACACCACATAAGAACCGCCGGGAGCTGACATTAGAGTTTATGAAGCGTTTCCTCCGCTGAGAGGCTGTTCTACAGCAGCAGATTGATGAACACTTTGTGTTTGTTGAAAAGGAAGCGCTGATGAAGCTTTCCCACCGGGAGCGTCAGATCACACTGTGTCTTAGAGAGCTTAGAAGTTAAAATAATGTTTTTGGCTTTAATCAATCGAAAGCCGCATTTTAAACTTTTTTCCGGCAGCAGCAAGTGGGGGAGGGGGTCAGATAGAGGAAAAACAGACAGATATCTAGAAAAAAACAAAAGCATTTCTGCTGTTTGTTACCATTTATTGGCCCATTAAGGTTTTAGTTATTTTACCTTTTTTCTTTCCTAAACTGAATCTAAAGATGACTTACTGTTGACAAAAGTAATCTGAGAGACATTACTATAGAAAAAGTACGGAAGAGGATTAGGGCCACTGAAAAAAAAAAAAGTTAACTGATTTTTTAAATTCAGTTTAACATGGGAAAAAAGTCAGAATTCTGACTTTAATCTCAGAATTCTGACATTTTTCTCAGAATTCTGACTTTTTTCTGAATTCGACAATAAAAAGTCAGAATTCTGAGAAAAAAGTCAGAATTCTGAGATTAAAGTCAGAATTCTGACTTTTTTACCATACTATACTGAAATAAAATAAAAAAAAAATCAGTTAACGTTTTTTTTTTTTTTTTAGTGGCCCTAATCCTCTTCCGTAAAAAAGCATTAGAAATTACATCTGCAGAATTTAATAAATGTAGTCATATTCAGTTAATAGGAATATTCTGTATTATGGAGCTCATTTGTTAGAAGCACCTTTGGAAATAAACGTTTCTTTCAATAGATGCTCATTTAGGTATCAGATATGTTTATATGAAATATGTTTGATGTAAAGTTCTGATTGTAAATGTTTTCATTAGCTTTGAGTGAAAATCATAACGATTAACAGAAAACAAGGCGTGAAAACATCAGGAAATTTGTAATTTATCGATTGAATGTGTTTTTATTGGTGTGTTAAATTATTGAAATAAACATATTGCACTGCAAAAATTATCAAAGAAATAAGCAAATGAGTTTTAGGTCAAGTGTATTTACCCTTAATTTGAGGAGGTAAATAAAATGATTTCCAATGGAATGCGTGTTTTTACTCTTAAAATAAGATACTTGGATAATATACACTTGAAATAAGACAATGCAGTTGTTTTTTCTTATTTTAAATGTAAATTATTTTATTGCATGAGCAATGTGTCTCATATATCTCCTTAATTAAAAAAAAAACGCACTTATGCTAAGAAAAAATTACTCATTCAGATTTACATTGTTTGTAGTGTGGTGACATTTAAATTAACTGAATACGCCTGTAGTGCAATTCAATTAAATAAAACAAAAAAACAAGAGTTAGGCTTTTATTTCAGATGATTTCAATTTATATGGGAACCTGTTAGTGTTAATATTAATGCTTAGTTGGTATATTAATAGTGACTTATGATTTAGAAAACTGTGATTTAGTATAAATGCTTTTTGTGGTTTAATTAAAAAAACTAAACATTTGTGTTTTTTTGTCTAGTTGATTTCTATAAATTTAAATACAGCTTATTATGTTTGTTGAGTGTTTTTTTTTCCATTCATTTCATTGAATACCAAAAAAAACAGCCTATCAAATTTTTGATATACTAAAAAATAAAAAAAAATACACCTCCATCCATACATACCTACATATCCATCTGTATACATTACATACATATATACACACACAGACATACTACATATGTATTTCAAAATTTTAAAACAAAATGAAATGAAAGGCCGCAGAAAGAAGAAAAAATCTTATAATATCTGCCCCTTTTTTCTCAGCTCTGAAACTAAACAGGGAAAAAATGGTTATCTTCTGCATCAAAAACAAAGTCAGTCGTCAATCTCAACTAAACAACGATCGTATGAGCTCACTTTATACTATTTCATACTTCTTCAAGAATCCAGTCTTTCACATTATTAAAACCAGGAGCCAAAAAAACCTGTTAAAAGGGGAGTTTTTCCTCTCCACTGTCGCTACAAGCATGCTTAGTGTGAGGGATTGCTGAAGAGTCAATGAGTCGATGCAATCAACTGGTTTTCCTTAGATAGAAAACTTTGAATCAATCTGACTGGATGATCTGGTTGAACTGTAGAGTGCCTTGAGATGACATGATGTGAATTGGCGCTATAGAAATAAACTGAATAGAAACTGAATTATTTAAAGAGATATTATGTAAGTTTTTACCAAAAAATATCTTTAAAATAGCCTTTTTATTTGACCCTTTATGACTAAAACATCGTTTGATGTCGCCTCAGTGGTTAAGCTGCGAAGTGTCTATGAGCCTGTAGTATTTTTTGCGAATTTATAATCAGGTTAGAAGTTCCCGGATGTGATGTCAATCGCCTCCACGTTAAATGGATCTGAACCAATAAAAAATTTCTCTCTGTTGGCTAAATTTTTTATTTTTATTTATTTATTTTTTATTTTAAGCCTAGATTGTTTTAGTAACATAAAGAAGTTAACATCAGGAATAAACTCACCGACGGCGATGAAGTCCTCCTGCTCCCCGGGTTGGGTGAGGCCGAGCGGCCCGTTGTAGAGCAGCAGCCCGTTGGCCGACTCCGACAGGAACTCCAGGGATATGCGACTCTGGAAGCACGGCTTGATGGCAGGAAACCAGGCGTAACCCTGACCTCCAAAGCTGTGCTTGGTCTGCTGGCATTCCGGCCCGTCAAACATGGGGGGACACATGCATCTGCAGGACAGGGAGGACAGAAGTTAAAAGGAGTGAAATTTATTCCATTATTGTTAGATGGCAAAGAACATGTTTTGTAAATAAAAATTAGAACATTTAATTTTATTGAATTATTCTATTTTTTAATTTTCAACTACTTTTGAAAATATAAAGTCTCCAAAAATGTGAAAAAACTAGGATTTAAATAAATAAAACATAAAAATATTATAAAAAATAAGCAAAAAAAAAAAAAACAAAAAACAGAAAATATACTCTTAGAAGATTTTTTTGATTAATACTTTTCAGTTTAATCTCTTTATTTTATATATATTTTTTATTTATTTAAAAAAAAAATTTCTTTCAACTAATTTTCAATGTTTCTATTTACAAAATGTGTTCTTTGTTTGCAACAATAATGGAAGAAAATTCACTTCCCATAGTTATTATATTATAAATAGCAGAATTGAACATATGAGTTCATCTAATTTAAAATAAATTTATGAAGGACTCTAACCCCTAACCCTAAATTCTCGGTTTATTTACCTTCAAAGCTAATCTGGTTTCAAAAGCAGCAACTTTGATCTATTGCTGAAATTTTCACATGAAAACATAAATCAAAGTAAAACTTACTGATATTTTTACAAAAAATTTATATTTCTGTTTACCCAATGCAAATTACTTCCTGCCTTGTCGTAATAAAAAAAAAAGGCATTTTAAAGACTTGAACTTAAATCAACATGAAAGTTGTGAAGTTTCAAAAGAGAAACCAGCTGGATGAAACATTTCATCTACACTCTATGTATGAAGTTATTTGAGGATTGAAGCGGAGCAGCTGAAGCCGGAGTGAGTTTTATTGCTGCAGATGGAAACTGTCGTCTATCTTCTTAAATTTTTTAACAAATCTGACAGATTTCACTCGACTTATTCGGTTAAAAAAGTGACATTTCTGGCAGCTTCAAGCAGTGATGATAACGGTTTGAGAAGTCTGTTAGCCTCAAAGGACAGCCTTGCTTATAACCAGAGAGATTACATGTGATGCCAAGGGTCTGCAAAATGAGAAGAGGATTTCCTCCAGTTGCTTCCACCTACCGGTATCCCAGTGGTCCATCCTGGCAGGTGCCTCCGTTGAGGCAGGGGTTGATGGGATACGGGGAGCAGGACAGGTGGGTCGCCTCTCGCCCTCTGCAGCCGCAGCGTGTCGTCAAAGAGGCCGACAGAGAAACCAGAGAGGTGTTCCCGGAGCTCAGAACCACGGGGACATGGCTGAACGACACCTCACTGCTGCAGCCGCCGTACGGACTGCAGTCTGTGGACGGACAGTCGTCCACACCCACCTGGGAGACGGATACACCCAACATGGACTCCAACTGAGCAGGAGAAAGGTAAGAGGTGATGACAGAAAATAATTAGATTATTCTCTTACAATTATACAAAAAAACTTATTTAGAAGAGTTTTGAATCAAATGTTAATGTGGGGATTAAGTAATTTAAATGACTGATGGCGTGAAAATCTATTCTTATCCTTTGCCTTTTTACCAAATTTTGTCATCTCACAACCACCAACTTTAATGCATTCCTGAGATTAACACGTAAATTTAAAGGGGAAGATGTAAAATGACCGATTTATTAAAGGATTGGCAAGTAGCACCTTCCAATTTATAGAATTTGACTCCTTCAAAATGCAGTATGTAGAAAAGGTAAGAGGTAATAAATGCTTTTTTTTTTAAAGACTTTTAAAGGCAAATCCAGATTCCCTTTAGGAGAGTTGGATTCAAAGTGGCCTTTTATGTAAACAACATGTAAATTATTAAATAAATCTTAAATGAAGACAAATGTGATTCAGTGTAACATTAGAATAACACAATAAAATGTTCAATCACCATCTGTCAAGTCATAGACATTGTTTGAACATATTAGAGAGTTTTAAAGAATGACGGCTTCTAACTTTAATCTCATGTCGAATTGCATAAACAACTTTTGAATTTGCTCCATTTCCCTTAATATTATTTATGCACTTTGGTGATTTCCATCACATTTCTGGTTTTTGTTGTCATTCTCTCTCTCTGTTGCTAAATCCCCCTCCCCCTTTTTTCTTTGCTTGTCACTCAGACTGTTTCTCTTAGTTCCTCTCAAAGAGCTCCCCCCCCCCACCCACCCACCCAGTCCTGTTTCTGCATTTATTTCTTTTTTTGGTTGTAAAGATCCAGCTGTACTCATTCCAAGTGCTTCATGATCCCTTATGCAGAGCTTCAATTTATGGCTCCAAAATTTAAATATATTTTGATTTTATTTTTCTTATATTGTATCTTTAGCAATTCTACATCTATAACTGATTTATATATGACTATTAAATATAATCTTTCCCCATCAGTTTTTAATTTAGGACACATTTTAATAATGATGTTTGCTTTATTCTCATATTTATTCATCTTCCTATTGTTGTTGTGACATTTTTCTGTTGCTAAATAATCTTTTTGCCTTTAAGCTGCACCATTATTAACTTATTTGGCCAAATAGAAAAACCCCCAGATAACTTCAATCAAAATGGGTACTTTTATAGTAATGTGTTTTCGAGTAAATTATGTAATGCAGTGGGGAATCTGTGAATGAGCAAGCCACATATTTGGTTATTACGGTTGACAAATAACAAATATACGCAGGAAAACAACCAGTATTTAATATTAGCTAAATTAATTTGTACACACCTTTTATATTTAAGCCCTCACTATAAAGAGCACAAGTACACCACTCTTTTGCTTTTTCTGTGATTGAAATTTTAGTTCAGTTTTCAAACTTCCTATCTGATTTAGTGTTAAATACTGACAGAGTCATCATAGTAGGGGATTTTAACATCAATGCTGAGATTGAAAATGATAGTTTAATGCAGCCTTTAATGTTATTTTAGACGTGATTGGTTTTGTTCAAAATGTCAGTAGTCCCACACATTCTCATCTTCAAACTTTGGACCTTGTTCTGACATGTGGTATTGATTTAAAAATATTCTCACAACCCTGTCTTATCTGACCACATTTTAGAACCTTCAAACTTACTTTAAAATCTTTCCCCTCCTCCAAAAGAAAGCCTTGTTTTAGCAGAATTTTATCAGATAATGAAGTTATATATTTTTACAAATCTGTTCCATGTATTAATCTCATCTGTATCACTAAACAGTACAGCAGAAGGCAACTGTTTCATTTATTCTCTTTTACAAATTGATGATTTTGTTGATGGGGTTCCTTCTTCTCTGCTCACTGCTTTAGACAACATAGCCCCTTTGAAAAAGAAGAAGGTTAATAATAGGAGGGTGAAACAAAAAGGACATGAGGAAAACAGGACATGGTAGAGAAACGAGGAGAGTACATGCATAGTAACAGATAAAGTAGCATATTTAGCTGGGCCAGTATGGCTAACAGTAAAATGAAATACTGTGGGAAGTGAGGAGAATGACAATAGATAATGAGGAGCAGCTCAGGAAAAAGAGAAACAGCAAGGCTGAGGGAAGAAAACTAGTAAACACAGAGAAGCTGAAATACGACTGAACTAAGGGGAAAAGATACACACTAACAAAAAATGGAGAAACTAGAAAAGACAGGGAAATGAAAATGGCAACAAAAGGAAATAACAAGTATGGCAACACCTTAAGGACTAAACATAACAGGGAAATGAAAACACAAATAAAACAGGGAAGGGATGTACATGAAACTTTTTCTTTTGCTTTTTTATGACCTTTTATTGGTTCTATTAAGGAGATATGAGCTGTGAGGCCGCCACAAGGAAAAGACTTCCATAAGACCTTGATCAGTCAACATGTGTGCACACATGCTTTGCATCTTTTTCATACATGGGTAACAAACATGGATGATGAACTGATGTCAGCTGCAGCTCCATAGCTTTAAATGCATTTCGTATGCATTTTGCATTTGATTCTAAAAGAGATATACAATTTAAAGATGCAGTTTGCATATGTTTAAATGTTACCTTGGCCTTGTTTGCTGCCACATAGCCGTGCAGCTTCTCGGCCTTGTAGTACGGAGATCCGTGTGCAGCAAACCATACATCAAGCGCTGTATTCGTCTCCTTGCCGGCTTTGCTTAAAGAGAAGATTTGGACGTTCTCTGGCGAGGTCTGCAGGAATTCAGCCAACATCCGACCCAGACGATAGAAACGACTTCCCTGACCTCCGCTGCTACTCCGGAAAAACTCCTCCACTGTAAGATCTGGAAGAACAGAGGAAGCTCCTTCTTATATTGAAATACTCCTTTGGGGTAAAGGTGACAAAAAATACTTTATCAATCTGTAAATAATTTATTTATCAGTTATTTATTTTAAACTAAAACAACAAAAAATGAGCAACAACTGTTTCTGTAGTTCAGTGTTTCAGATGATTCTCTTATTGGGTAAACTATTAAGTAATTTTATACATCCTTGTATCTACATTACACAAAGGCAAGGCAAGTTTATTTGTATAGCAGAATTCAGTGCAAGGACAATTCAAAGTGTTTTATATATCAGGACTCCATTGTGTTGTGTTTGTCTTTTTGTGTTGTTCTCCCGTCCACCAGCAGGAGGCGCCTGGTTCTGGTCTGCCTCCTCACACACCTGATGATGGTTGCCTCGTTAACGGAGTGCTCTTTAGCTGCTGATTGCCACTACCTCGACGCCAGAGTGTTTGCCAGTTTTGGGTACTCGAGCCAAGCTGAGTTTTTGCTGAGTAAGACTGAGTTTTTGTTTTTGCCTGTCGGCAGGAAGTCTTCCTGCAAACTGGATCTTTCCGGACCTTCTCCCCCTGAAGGAATCAAATGAGCCTTGAACCTAGCTGGGGATTCAAACAGGAGGTTTGGATCCATCTTCCTTGAAGAGGACGTTGAGTTAACTCTCTGAGCAAGGGAATCATCTCCATTACGACCCGTTCATGTACCGCAGGAAATCTGAGTGGCAGTCAGTTTCTCCGTTCACCAACAACCATCTGAGTTCTGGGTAAACCCTGTTCCGCCCTCCACTGAATCAGAATAACACTGGAAAACAGCACAAAGATTGGAGTCAAAGATCCTACAACTTCTCTGGAAAAGTCAGTCAACCACCAGAGCCTCTTCTCCATATCCACGAATGAAATTTCCCACTGAGCCTGAACTAATCGTCTTGTCTTCCCTTCACCTTCCAGTTCCGGTCGAGCTGAGTTCTGAGCAACTCCGCACCGAGCCTAACTCTTCAATAAACCTGTTAAACTTTTCATCTGTGTCTCTCTGAATTGGCTTCACTGCATGTGGGCCAGAGCTTTAGATAAAATCATGAAATTATAAGAATTAAACAACAAAATAGATGACAAATAAAAGTAGAATAAAGACTAAAAAACATGATAAAACCAGACAGTAAAACAAAACAATTGGAAAAAATAGAACTCACAATATTTTTTCATTGATCAATCATTTACTGCCACTATAACAGTTACTGCTATGATTTCTAAATTGATATACGATATGGTTCAATGTCTGCTATACTTTCTATGCTGCTATTGAATGTTATTTACTGAAGCTCTATTGAGGTTGTCCTGTTTTCTTTTACATGCCGCCTTTGCCTCATAAAACTATCTTTACCTCGGAGCCCAAAGGTAGATAAAAAAAATGTTTATGCTCGTTATCCGTTTTCTTCCTATTTAATTTTGTAGGAAAATGATAGAGTTAAAAAAGAACTGTTCTGCATTTCTCTATATTTGTTTTTGTTTCTTGCTATTTATTGTATGTAAAACTGAAAAACATGATAAACAAACTAATATCCCTGTTGAATTTTCTATTACTCTTAGATAATATAAATCTGCCCTCTAATTAGAACAGAATAAAATATCCACAGTAGTAAAATTTAGAAATTTATAACTGCTAAAAGAATCATAAAACGTGAATCTTGAAAGGCTCCCATTGATAAAATAGCTTCAGTCTTATCTGACATGATGACACGGGGACTCACTGCTCAGACGGATGGAGCCGGCTTGCTGCAGGGCCTCCTGGTGCAGCTCTGTGACATCCACCTGGGCGGTCGAGATGACGTCAGGCCATGTGTTGTCTGACACGCGGACCTGCAGGCGGTATGAGCCGGGAGGGGTTCCCTCTCTGATGCTGAGCTGACCTGAGCTCTGGTTTAGACCAAACAACCTAACAGGAACAAATCAAAAGGTTGTAGGTTATAACTCTAAATTTGTTTGTCTATAATAATGGATAAAATAATCTGAGGAAACTAAAGTTGATTGGGTCATCTGATTATACATTAACTTTTTTTTTTTTTTTTTTACACATCACTTAATGTTAACGCTTCCACTGGTGTCCGACTGAATAGAAGTTAACACAAGTATGGACAGCAGTGCAAAGGGGTTCTGCTCGTGCAGCAAATTCGAAAAGGTCCTGCAAAATTAAAAGTTGGTTAGAAAACACATAACTGATGCTAAACACAACCACACCTCATAGAGCCTCATACAAGTAGAGCTCCATGCCACAAGGTGGAAATGATAATCAACTCATATTGGACCAAACATTACTACACAATTGTTTGTTTTTTGTGTGTTTATGCATTAGTTATATTTTTGCAGAAGGTTTTGTGTTTGCTTTTGTATGACTGCATCTTTTTTTCTTTGCTGCATTTTTTTGCTACCTCTTTTTGCTTTTATCAGTGCAAGATATATATATATATATATATATATATATATATATATATATATATATATATATATATATATATATATATATGTATATATATGAAAATGCACTGTATATACCCCAATTCACCTTTTCCTCCTTCTTTTGGCACCTTCTTCTTATTTTTGACTATTGAGCTGATGTAATGAGTACATTTCTCCAATGTGAAATCAATAAAGTCAATCAAAGAATCAATAAATCAATCCGTTTCATTTTTAATTTTGCAGAACCTTTTCAACTTGTGGTAAAGACACACACATATATATATATATATATATATATATATATATATATATATATATATATATATATATATATATATATATATATTTTTTTTTTTTTTTTTACAGTGTCCTGTCTGGCAATGTGGCAATAAAAATAATTGTCTTGATGCCAGAAAGAGCCCAACAGATTTTACTTTCACAAGTGTAGCAGTATAGCAATTGCCATATAGCTCCACTTGTTTCATGCATATAAATTGCTTTATTATAATTATGCAGGGAGTTTTACAGATTATATGGACACTGCAATGTAAATAGAGCAGAAAAACAGAAGAAGAAAAAGGAAAAAAGAAAAAAAGAGAAAAGATGAAAGAAAGAGGAGATAGAAAGGAGACGATGACAAAACATTTTCAGTCTGCTTCATCACCTGTAACGAGATGAAAAAAGAACAGCACAACCGAAAGACATGGTGCGAGATATACAATAAAGCAACACCTTGAAACTATCGCTAAAGTAGTATTATTAAGTCTGAAATGTACTCTGTGTTACCTGAAGATATGAATGTGGGGTTTCTGTATGGAAGTGAATCTCTCAGTACCTGGAGCCAAGCACCTGTAATTGTTTGTGAGGGTGCACTTGTGCACAAAGACATATATTTACATGCCGTTTGCACAGTCACCGTATTGGCCAACATGGCATCCCGTACACAGTACTAATTTTTTAAAATAACTATATGTAGATCATTAGACAAAGAAAAATATAAAAGGAGGAAACTGGAACCCACAACCTACTCCACCAGTTAAACCACATTCTTGCCATCCTTTCCTTTTCCATTATCCTTTTAAACCATTTCACTTTATATTGTACATGTAATTTGGCCTGTGTTTGACCTTTTGTAAAAGTGAATTTATTTTTATCATCCCAACATGTTCATGATGAAGGATGTTCGGTTTAAATCAGTAAATATTGTCATGCATGGTGGTAGTAGCATTATGCTGGGGGTCTGCTTTGCTGCCAGTGGGACTACAGCACTGTGTGCATTTAAAAAGAATAGAAAAGAAGGACAACAACCTGTTAATCCTTCATTTCGTCATTCTGCAAAAACAGTGGTATGAATGAGTCATTAATCCTCAAACATTAACGAAAATTAATAAATCCAAACATTTGACAAGAACTGATAAACACCAGGAGCTTATTTGCTGATTTAATAGTTTTGTTGTTGCTGAGATTCAAAGGTCTTTATCTCGTATAACATTCTGTTTCTGTTGACTTCCTGTAAGGTGACATGCTGATTTTTCATCCGAAGTCTTTGCGGTTCTTATTTTCATCCAAGTTCGTCATTTAAATAGCCATCAGCCTAAACCTGATCTATTCCTCCAAACAAATTGCTGTCTGCACGGATGATGGGATGTGATTCACAAGTAACTATGGTAATTCTGTCCCCGGTGGTTCCTTTGTTCTCGGCCGTTTCCTGTCGTCCCTCCTTGTAGGTATCTCGTTAGAAGAAAGGTGGCTCGGAGTGCAATCAGCCTCGGCTTTCAACGCGTCCGCGTGAAGCCCTGCCTCATCAAACAAAATGAGCTCGCCCTCGCTGCGCTTCACTAGGAATTTTCAATACCGCTGGTTATGAAGTATTAATAGCACTGTTCCTGACAAGTCAGATCTCTTTTTCTATCTCTCCCCTCTCTGCTCTCATCCATTTCCACTGTCTTTCACTCTTTGTTTCATGCTTCAAACTGCCTGTATTATAGGCACCAATTTTGTTTCTTTTTTCTTCCTGTCTCACCTTTGTACTCTCTCGCCCTCTGTATTTTCAAACTGTCAGTTGCTATGCACTTTTTTATTTTCTCCCTATTTTCCTCTTTTCTCTTCACCGTTCCTGCTTTGTGTCACATAAGAAGGGAAACTTTACACAGGAATCTGTTTTATGTTAGTCCCTCTCATGATAAAACTGCTTTACATCTTCCATCCTCTGATTCCTTTCATCCGATACATCCAACAGGCTGCATGCTTGAAACAAAAGATGATCTCAGTGACAGAGTCAGCGTCTTGATCTTCTTACACCTGTGGTTTTCAGATGACACAAAACTGAATCTATTACTTCTAAAGCCCTTTATAGATTTACCGTACTTTTCTAATATATATCATAACAGCCAAAGATAAAAGTACATTTTAATATTTGCTATCAAGCAATTCTGAGCTTTACTAAAATACAGAAAAATGTAAGATCTTTGTTTATTTCTTGCATCTTCACCTTCTTATCATCAGAATTTATGCATTTATTTGCTACCGTTTTGTTTATTTTGTTGTGTCCTCCTGTAGTTGTTTTCTATCTAAAGCTCTCTTTCCCTTAAGGATGCAGAATATACTGGCATTAATACTGGCTTTGGCCGATATTAATGACAGATAAAATATATGCGTCATTTTTAAACACATCTGTAATAATAAGTTAGGTCCGATCAGTAAACATGGGTGCAATGTTAACAACTAATGTTTATTTACATGTAGTGTCTGTTTTTGTATCCGTATGTTATGGGAAGTTTTTTTGATAATGTTACAGTGATTGCGATCAAGCTGAGGATTTTAGGAGTTAAATTGAAGTAAAAAAAGTTATCAGCCATAATTGCAATATTAAATATCAGCCCAGATTTGGGCTTGTTTTTTCCCCCACAATTTACAATTTTTTTTTTTTACAAATTTACACTTATAAGAAAAGCAATTGCTTGCTACACTGCTGCTCTCGTGTTAAAAGTTGCACACTTCTCTGTTTGGCGTTGATTTTGTAGAGCTTAGCAGTTAAGAAAAGGTTAGGAATAAAGTGGCTGCTTATACACTGCAAAAAATTTTGAAAAAATATGCTTAACAAGAGTATTTCCCCCCTAATTTCAGCAGCTAAATAAGATGATCTGCAATGGAATAATTATTACCTTCCTAAAAGGTAATTGAAGATTATGCACTCAATACAACATATTGGGCTTTTTTTTTAACTTCCTTTAAAAGTAAATCATCTCCTTTTATTTGCAAACTGCTTCACTTAACCTACATATTACAATTTTTTGAATTGTAGTTTGCTGCACAGAATGTATTTACTTAAAAAAAAAACTTGCATAAAGTTCATGTTTGGCTGTGACTCCATCCTGGAGAGAAATATCAGCTGTGCTGCTGCCATCAACACCTTTGTTATAGATGTTGGAGATCGGCCTGTTTTTCAGTGTAGTCCTGTATCTCCGACTGTGACTGGCTGGATGTGCTCTCTTCATCCTCTGACATGGGAGCTGGCTCGGAGCTCTTCTGCCTGGCTGCGTGTTTCCTGGAGGGCGGTGCTTTTTACAGCTGCCTTTTGTATCTCTGGTTCTGTCTCCTTGAACCCCAGTCGGCCTCGGCAGATGGCCGCTCACACTGAGCCTGGTTCTGCTGGAAGTTTCTTCCTGTTAAAAGGGAGTTTTTCCTCTCCACTGTCGCTACAAGCATGCTTTGTGTGAGGGATTGCCTTTAACTCAATGAGTTGATGCAACCAACTGGTTTTCCTTAGATAGCAAACCTTGAATCAATTTGACTGTATGATCTGGTTGAATTTTCTGTAAAGTGCCCTGAGATGACATATCTTGTGAATTGGCACTATATAAGTAAACTTAATTGAAATAAAATTTAGATTCTCTTAGTATCCTAAGGTCAGACAGAAAATATTTAGAAATCTTCAGTCTTTAATTGTTGTAAGCATTTAATATGCAATTCAATGACTTCCTGTTTACCTACAGGGACACAATGTTTAATCAACTCCTAAAAATGCAGGACAAGAGAATATGTTGTTCTTTTAAAGCAGGTCTGCATTAATCTTCATTAGTCAGGAAAAAGCTGCAAGAAAACAGCCACCTGCTCTAATTTGGATCCTTTTTTAGTAAGACCCATTAGAGTTAAAATGAACAAGGACACCACATCTTTTTGCTAAAAGACACAGTGACAAGGATGGCAAGGAAGGTGAAAAAACTCCCAAGTTAATGTTTTAGTCTAGGATTATCTTTAAAAAAATCTTCCTGTACTTCTTTAGATGAGCTAAGAACATTTATATGAAGTCAGAATTGTGGAAACTAATAAGGTTTTATTTACACACAAAGGTAAACTACTCTCTATGCGCATTTTTTATGTTTAATGTGTGCAGATTCAATACCATAAACCTCCCAGTATATCACACGCAAGTTCCTTCCCTGCGCTTATGGCTTTTGCTTTTTATGCGGAAGTACTCTCTTTCCTATATGTGTGTAGATCTGCTTTGGTGTGGTCGTGTTCAGTCTTGCGCTACATGATTGTCTTCTTCCATGTGATGTATCAAACCGGTACAAACATTAAAGTCGTAGGGAAGCGGCCGTTCCAACCGTTGCATTTCCGAATTCTTCCGAGTGGAGCTCGACTTTACACGAGTGAATAAAGTGAATGTGATGGGTTGTTTATTAAGAGGGCGGGATTGTTGTGGCGGAAGGTTCGCAAGCAGTTTGGTTGTGGCCCGTTTCTCGGAAGCATCTTGCTAACCAGTTAGCAACTTAGTGCTAGCAGGTTCCCAATGGGAAATTCCATTGGGACCAAGTAGCACTAAATTGGGGATTTAGAAACGACACTGTCAAGGAACGCTATGGACAGCGGAAACATGCAAGAGGAGGAGAGTTTAGTGTCGGAGGTCATGGATGAGTCTCCTCCGTCATCCATTTTTTATTTAGAGGAGGAAAGCGGGGACGAAGATGTTGTGGAAGAGGACGCCAGGGCGGCAGAATCTTGGTTTGGTGTAGAAGGCTTCCAGCCGTACATGTTTGAGCCCTTGCCTCGCAACGCTGCCAGTTCTGTTAGCTCTACGCCTGCCGAAGACACAGACGTCCATCCCCGTGAACACTGGGACGCAACTCAATGGGAAATGATTCTGAATTCCTATTTCTATATTAGCTGCAACATATGAATCAAGATGCTATGACCGGAAAAATTTGATTGACAGATGACCGTTGATATATGATTGGCCAAATTTAGGTGTACAAGCTGAAGTATAACTAACTGGCCTGCATAAGATAACAAAAAACCTGTACAGATTTTAAGACGGGATTTTTTTTTTTTAAATATCGTCTGATAATGAGTATTGAGTATGTATTTAAATACATTTTTAAGCCAGAATGATTTGACATTTAAATATGATTTCCCTACGTCTTTAAAGAATTTCCAAGGACGGCTGTCTAGTTATGGCCGTAGTAAAAAAGAAATCTTAACAAATCTTTTTTTTTCAAATCCACAAAATTCAAGGATTTCAAGGACCTCCTACAATCCTGTTTTCATTACTAATAAATTGCCTTGGTGACTAATTTTTCATATTATAAAAAATTATTTATTGAAATTATATATTTCACAGTTCACCAGATCATACAGTCAAACTGATTCAAAGTTTTCTAAAGAAAACCAATTGATTGCATCGACTCATTGACTGTTCAGCAATCCCTCACACTAAGCATGCTTGTAGCGACAGTGGAGAGGAAAAACTCCCTTTTAACAGAAAGAAACCTCCAGAAGATCCAGGCTCAGTGTGAGCGGCCATCTGCCGAGGCCGACCGGGGTTCAAGGAGACAAAAGCAGAGATACAAAAAGCAGCTGTAAAAGGCGGCCCCATCCAGGAAACACACAGCCAGGCAGACGAGCTCCGAGCCAGCTCTCTTGTCAGAGGATGAGGAGAGCACATCCAGCCAGTCACAGTAAGAGAAACAGGACTACACTAAAAAACAGGCTGATCTCGAACATCTATAAACAAAGGTGTTGATGGCAGCAGCACAGCTGATATTTCTCTCCAGGATGGAGTCACAGCCAAACAGGAACAGATATCCTTAACTTTTTAGCACCAACTTAAAAAAAAAACAGTGATTATTTGTATAGGGGATCTTTTACAAACTGATTTTTTCTGCACTTTTATTTCATTTCAGTGCTTTACCAAATGTGATCAAATTACCTGGTTGTTTTGCCATGGAAACGGTACACCTTCTCACTCCAGTCATCAAGGTCAGGGGACTGAATACGCCCAATAACTGTTGTCGGGAGGATACCTGTCAGAGAGTAACATAGAAAGAAAACTGTTAAAAATATTGCAAACATAAGGGATCCCTGAGGTGGAGCCCGAACATTCAGGGTAAAGGCTGAATTATAAAAGCTTCCCTAGAAGTTAAAGGTACAGGTGCACCTTAGCGGCACCCACGGTTATGGTTTAATAACACATCAGGAAGAAGGACTCTCATTAGAATAACTTCCAGAGTGTTTTTCCACAGCTCCTAGAAAATGAGCTAAGTGCAGCAGTGTAATCGTTTTATCCATGAAAAGAGTCGCCTTTTAAACTGACGTCCTGTTTCTGTTGCTATCAAACTAAAGCTGGAGTTAATTGTTTGCTTGATGACATGCTTTCCAGGTACAGGGTGGATTCGAATTAGAAGTTTAATGTCCTTTCATGGAGAAAAGCCCCAGAGAGGAAATTCACAAAAACACATTACAGAGAGAACCCGAGTTTTCCAGTGAATTAAAGCGGGCTGACAGATGGCACGAAATGCTAAATAAGTGATGGGGCCGCAGCAGGAGGCTGCGCAGAGTCAACTGTGTCATGTACAATTCTAGCAACATGAGCACAAAGGGCTCAGAAGGTGCTGGTGGAATCGTCATAAACATTAGTGGAGGCGGTCTGCGATCAGAAGATACCCGACTGGCACAATCAATTATAAGTGAGGGGAAAATGTTCACTCTCTTATTGTAAAGTCTCTCTAAGGTAAAAAAAAAAAGTATGCAATAAGGACAAAGAGCTTATATTTTGCTGCTGTGTTTAAGAAAATATTGGGGGGAAAAATGCATAACAGCTAAGTGGATTCATCATTAGAAACTGTTATAAAATTAAAATAAATTCAAATAAAATGATCTTTATTAATAGCTAAAGGGAAATTAAATGTTGCAGTAAACCAGGGGCAGTTTTTCAACAAGATATTATAGGTATTTATAGCTGTAGGCAGGAAGGATCCTTTCTCTTCATCCATGTGATAAGTCAAACCTAAACAAATATTAAAGGAATTTCAAGAAGAGGTGTCTAGCTATGACTGTATTAAAAAACAATCCTTGGACCTTTAACAAATCTTTTCAATTTTACAAAATTCAAGGATTTCGAGGACCTGTGGAAACCCCAATTTTATTACTGATAAATAGCCTTGGGGACTTTGTGAATGAAACCAACAGTTTAAAACCATTGCTTTGTCAAATCAGCATACAAGCATATAGGTCTTACTTGCACCAGATCTGTAGAAGCCTCTGACAGAAGACACTCTGTTAATTTTTAACAATCTGATGAAGAGGATGCTCACTTTTTTACATAATGTTCTTTACTTTATGAACAATCTTTCTTAGTGAAATCATCTTCTGAGGTTCTAGAGGGGTTCCTAGAACAGAGCCGGCCTTCTTTACCAGCTTGTTGAACTTTTTTTAAGTCATTTGCTCTGGTGTTGTTATCTGTTAGAAATATTTGATTTATACTCCGTTTGTGTTTAATGGGTTGTGTACTAATGAACTATTATGATGTATAATGTGTGATTCATTGTTTATTAAATCTTGCTAAAGATTGTTCCAGATAAAGGTCATGCAACGGACGGGTTGTGAAAGAGGCCTGAACATCCTCTCTCACATGTTTCTTCTAAACATGTGTTCTTGGAACAATTCAATTGTAAAACAACCACATGCTTTGTTTTAACATATGCGCTAAGGTTTAAAGTAAGATCATTTTGTTTCCCTTTCCCTTAGTTAAACCTCAGCTTGTGTAATTAGGGACATCCCCTGACTTCAATAAATAGCGAGGAGAACGCTGGGACTGCAGAGTGGATTGGAGATTTGTAAACTCCGCATTTTCTTCCTACTCTCTTTGCGAGTAAACTAAATTAATTGTCTCTGTGCATTCTTTCTTTTCCTGTATATATATATATGATGTTCTAGGCGCTTAGACCTGACATTACCCCAGACACATGATTGCAGAACCATGCAGAACACACTGCAAAACTTTGCAAACAACTGAAGTTATTATCACTTTTTGTCATTGATAGCTTTTAAAGGAACATATCCTGCAAGGCATTCTGGGTTTGACACATCCATATCCCAAACCTAGGAATGTAATTACTTTATGTCACGGCCTTTATTACATGGAGTGTATTTGGTTCTAGTATTGCTGTAAGCAAAGAATAAGCTTTGTAAATAGAAATGTGAAAATACACAGTTTGTATCCACAAATAAATGTTTGAAAACTTTGCTGTTTTCTCAGATTTTATTTGGAATTAATTATATTTTTAAATACAGTTTTATACTTAATACTTTTAATTTCATTTTTTTTTCTATAATTCATTACAGGTTTATTATGTTAAAAAAAATTGTAAATCTTTTTAAATATTTTAAATTTAAATTCTGAAATTGAAAAGAAATGAAAAAAAAAAATGGCGAGAACAGCCATGTTACGTTAAAAGCATTTTTGGGTAAAAATATCTTTCAAAGTTTTATTTTTAGATTGCATTTTGTCCAAATTTCCATTAAAAAAAACAAACATGTTTTTTGCTTGAATCAATTATGGAGGAAAATTCATTCCACGTTATCGGCTCCAAAAACAAATGTACTCAAACTAAAAAAAAGACAATGCTGGTTTGTTCTCGAAGGTACTCAGAACTTTTTTCTTTAAAAGATATTTCTTGCAGCAATTTACTGAGAATACTTGCAAGTTAGACATAAACCAAAGTTAAATTGGTTCGAGACCACACTCAGTGGTCAAAAATAATATTTTTAACCCCCCACTGGACTTTGTTTCCAAATTTGAAGCAAACCGTCTTCAAACTTGAAAACAAAGTCCAGTGGATTGTTTTTAATTTTCTTTTTTTGGAATGTTCTTTGCCAGCAGATGGCACATATCTGTTTATATCAGCTCCTCATGCGGTAATTCTATTTAGGATCAAATACATTTGATTCTATGAGGGATAAGACTGGAGCAGCACTCGTATTGAGTATGAAAGTTGGTGTTTACTGAGGTGAAAGCTAAAGCTTCTGAGCATGCAACACTATTACAGACCTGATACAAAGAGAAATAGGACAACTGCAGTCAATTAGACAGTTAGGGGAAATTGGAGACCAAGAGAAAAACCATGAATACATGAGAAAAGACAAATTCCACTCTAAAAAGTCCCTGCTGTTACTGGAATCCAAGAGATGTAGTCCTAACAACTTCACCAGTGTGAAGCTCCTCTGCAAACTGAAGAAAAATACAACCTCACTGCAAAAGATCTTCAGAAATAAATTAAAGTCATCTGGGAATGTTAAACATGAAATCTAAAAAAAGCAAAACAAAGTGAGACATACCTTCATAGCTGTAGACCACAATGTGGGTGTGTCCAGGTAAGTGTGGATGATCATTTCTGTCACCAATGACAACTGTCAACGTGCTGGTTGAGCTCACTGGAGGAGATCCGCTGTCAATCATGAGAATAGGAAGGCGGTACTCCTTTTGACGCTCACGATCAAAGCTGCGAAGAGCTGTGATAGCCGCACTGCCATTTCGAAAGTCTGTCAAATTAAAGTTGGTGGCGTCGGAGGTGAGCAGGAGGAGCCGGATGGAGAATGGGCTGCCGTTAGTTGAGGTGTCACGGTCGATGGCATGAAGAAGCATGGAGGTTTCATTCATCTGAACAGCCTGTGGCGCTGCTGTGTTCTCCCAAACAATAGGTTTATAGGGAGCCTCGAACTCAGGCCCATTGTCGTTTATATCAAGTACAGTCACCATAACGATGGCGGTGCCAGTTAGGGTTGGTACACCAGCATCTGTAGCAAGAACCATTATCCTGTGCTGGGAGATTTTCTCTCTGTCCAGAGAACTAGCAACTACTACCCAACCAGACTGGTCCACCAGGAACTGATTATAAGGGTCAGACTCTTTTGAAATGCTGTAAGAGAAACGGCCATTTTGGCCAGAGTCCAGATCAGATGCAGTAACCTGAGTAACAATCGTTCCCACGGGAATGTCTTCAGACATGGCAGCGGACTCATAGAATTGCGGAAAGAAGACGGGAGCATGATCATTGGAGTCTTCAATTTGGACAACACAGTAGGCCAGGCTGTAAAAATCAGCATCTTCTGCCTTCAGGGTCAGATTAAAAGTCCTCTCATGGTGTTTCTCAAAGTCAACCTTCTTTTTAAGTTTTATCACGCCTCGTCGGTTTACTTTGTCTGTTTCAACAAAGAACTTCCTTTCATCATCTCCGCCGACAATGCTGAACGTAACAACAGCGTTCTCACCCTCGTCTCTATCAGTGGCAGAAACAACGAGAACCTCACTATTTACCTCCAGGTCCTCATTCATCTGGAAGACACATAAATATACCTCATTTATGACTACTACTGTAAATATTGTGATAGAATGACAGATGTCTATAGGAAGCTTCACTCACCTGGGTGGAGTAGGACCTCTGAGTAAAAATAGGTGGGTGGTCATTTACGTCTGAAATCATAATGGTGGCTGTTCCCGTCCCAGACAAACCACCTCCATCCCGGGCCTCCACCACCACCAGATACTTGTCCTCGGTCTCCCGGTCCGGTGAACGCAGAACTGTATAGATAGTCCCTGTAGTGGCGTTTATTGAGAACAGGTCGAGGTTGATCTCATTGCGAATGTTCTTGATGATGCTGTAGGTAAGCAAGGCATTCCGGCCTTCATTTGGGTCATCAAGGTCCATGGCACGCATCTCCATGATGGAGGTGTCTGCTGGTGAGTTTTCAGGCACTTGACCAACAAAACACCCGTCTACCACTAGAGCTGGGCAGGGAAAGAAGGGGGGGTTATCGTTAATGTCTTGGACCTCTAAGAGCACATCGGCGAATCCTGTAAGGCCCATTCCCCCCTCGTCTGTGGCCAGAACAAGGAATCTCCAGGCAGGGCGCTCCTCCCTGTCCAAGCGACGCTGAGCATAGATTCTTCCGGTATGTTCATCTATAGTGAACTCCCCACCGGCACCCTGGCCATGGAGGGTGTAACGGAGGGCGGTCTGGTCGGCTTCCTGATCAGGATCTGTTGCTGACACCTACAAAAACCAACAGGAATAAGGTGAAACAAAAAAGAAGTTAGTTTGGGCAAATGTGGCTTTTACAATACGTCAAACTTGTACAATACGTCAAGCTACAACTAAACAGAGGCAAACCTAGAGTTTTCTAGACCAATTGAAAGTAGACAGTTTTCATCTATTTAGGATAGGGCTAAAATAAATTAATCCGATTAATCGTGATTAATCGATTATTGAAATAATCGTCAACTAATTTACTAATCATTAACTTGAGTTTAGAGACTGTAAAATATGCCTTTAGGTGAGAGCAGCAATTATACCAAATTTGTGAAAAAAATATATAAACATTTTACATTTAAGAAATGCTTTATCCAGAACTCCTCAAGTAGAATCATTGTAGTCTCTTTTTAAGGAACCTTTTTGCTATCTGATTATTAATCAATTAATTAAAAAAATTATCAAAAGATTAATCGATTTGCAAAATAATCAGTTGCAGTCCTAGGGCTGGGCGATAATTCAATAACGATATATATCGACCGATAGACGTGTGGCGCAATAGAAAAAAAGAGAGTCGATAAAAGTTTGATAAAGAAACGCAGTTTTCCTTCCTTCTCATTGTAGCCTACCATGTAGGTTTATGCTAATCACTACTTCCTCCTAACCAATCGCAATCGCGGACCCAGGCACGCCGTCACAAAGCCCCGCCCTCTCAAACCACAACGCAGAGCACATGAAGATGTCGCAGCAAGGAGAGGCGGAGGAAATTGTTCCAAAGAAGGGTTTTTGTAGTTCGCTAGTTTGGCAGTATTTCGGTCATGGCAAGTCGGACTAAAAACAAACCACAGTCATCTGTAAAATGTGTAGGGAACCAGTGAAGACCAAGTCTGATAACACAACCAACTTTTTTTTATCATCTCAGCCGCTCACACCCGCAGGAGTACGAGCTGTGTAATCCCCGGCGCAGCTCTCCTCCGACGAATCATCGGGAAAATATATATATATTTTCAGTTCTGGGCAGTTTCCCACGTAGTTCTAAAAATTGAGAGAAAAATGCTGAGGGGCCAGAAACTTCAAAGTAATAACTCAGGTTAAAGCAGGAAACTAAGCTGAACCATTTATTTATTTGTTATATTTATTTTGGTCACTTTTCTGGTCACTTTAGTTTATTCTTTGTCAGTATTTAATAACATAACTCAGGTCTCTTAAGTTATTTTTCTTTAAAACAATTCTGTTATGGTTAAAAAAGTTGGTTAAATAAAGATTTAACTCGAAGTTTGTGTTTGGGCAGAGCTGCACATAAAATATGGTTTCAAATCTTTTCAATAATTATCAATATCGATTAATATGCATTTTTTTTTTATCGATAAGCTTTTTTTCTATATCGCCCAGCCCTATGCAGTCCTAATTAAGAATATATTCAAAGAATCGCTTTCATGTCAGTTTTGGTTGTAGTTATTAAATCACATTTATGACAAGTTTGTTCCAGTGTTGAGTCCTCTAATAACAGCCGAACCGTCCTGCTTTGTGTCATCATAAAGTCAGCTAAGTTTTCTTAGTAGCCAAGGAACTGGTCGCTGCTGTATTCACATTTGCTACCAGAGAGAAGGATGTTGGAATTGATCAGCTGTCCATCCATCAGCCGTGGCAGATGGCAGTTCACAGAGAGGAGGATTATATGGGGGATTTCTCTGTTTGAGGCCAGTTTTTCTTTCCACTGTCTCTCCATACATGCTCAGAGTAAGGGATTGATGCAATGCAAACGACTCAATGCAATTTGAGAAGTAAAATAAGCCACACTACACTATTTGCCTGTTCAAAACAGATTTTGGACAGAGAAAGCAGATAGTTTGAGAGAAGAAGGAAGCCATGTTTGTTAAAAGAGGAAACCTATTACTGGTTGGGGATTAAGGGCTGAGCTACAACTCTGTCCTGAAACTGATGCAAAAGAGGTTAAACAATCATCACTCATCAGACTATCGAACAAAAAACTTATACACATCGACAGACTCCAATAACCTGAGAAAATGAAAGATGGGTTTTTGGTTTGTATCTGATTTGGAGCGTGTTCTGGATTATCGACCTCCAGGTGCTCAAAAACAACATCGCCCCAACTTCAAATTGCTCTGATGCCAGCCGACAGAACTGAAGTCCTAGCCTCGTGAGACCATCCTGATCTCGCGAGCTTTCAAGGTTTCACTCGCAGATCAGTCTGGAGACTCTCCGTTAAAGAAAATTTGGAGGCGTTCACCAAACGAACGTCCAATCAGCGTTGGCTTTGAGGCGGGTTGAGGTGTGACGCAACGAGAAGCGCGACAGTTCAGTCTAAAGAACATGGCGGCTTCAGCCGATGAAACTAGCGTTAGCGTGTCTATCGAGCAAGTTTTATCAGAATTAGAGTATTTCTTCACTGAAAGAAGAGCAAAACACTGCTCTGGAGGCTTTTCTCAGAGGAAAAGATGTTTTTGCTCTTCTCCCGACTGGTTTCGGCAAGAGTAGCCTGGCTTGTGGTTGTGTTTTCGTCGTCGCTCTGTTCGTACGTCATATGCTTCGTTGATCTGATTGGTTTATTTGGCCCGTCTATCACCAGCATAGGCCAATCAGCTAACCAGTATTTTCACCCCTTCCCAAAATTACTTCAACGGACGGTTTCCAGATGGATATGCGGAGCAAATCCATCTGGCGGAGTCAGGTTACTGAAGTCCTGGATAAGGTGTGGAAATATCTCCAAAAAGAACTAAAACAGAGTTTGTTTGCCTCTGATTTAAGCCTGTTTGGTGACTGCAACGTTTAATCACACTGGAATGACAGTGACTTTAAATCTGCATAATTTGCCTTAAGATATTTGTAGTAAATTGGCTTAATAAACACAAACCAATCTTAATGATATTCCAAACGATTCTGCGAAGGTGAAGGATTGCTTTCTGGTGCTTAAAGAGAAACTGTGATGTATGGTCTGTGAGAAAACAGCTGTTAAACCAACTGGATGAGGGGCTCGACGAGCGGTTTATTGGTGCAGGGATAAACTGACAGCACAGGACATGACTGACAGCTGTTAAACCATATTGTGACCAACAACTGAATCTGTCGCCAAATGTTAAAACCATTTTGGTTTGGCAGCTTTCGTTCTAGACTTCACAGCTGTTAAGGAGCGTATGTCAGCTCTTATTCCTGCCAATAATCATTTTATTTTAAAACAGTATTCTAGTAAAATGATGTGTATTTTGAACCTAAATGGACAAAACTAAACAGGCTTACTTACTCTTCAAACAACATGTTCAGCATAATTGTAATATACCTCTAAAGAGTACTCTATTATTTGACCTACTGTATTTCTTTTAACTGTTGTGCACAGTGGCATTTACGGTGACAAACTGGTCAGACGCTCCATTTTGACATTTCTTCCCAATTTAATTAACAAACTGAGCTTCAATAATAACTTTTTCCATCTTCAGTTCTTTGCATGTTACGTATTTCTTATAAAAACAGTCAAATAGCTTTTTTTTTATTTTACTGTGTGGAAATGTCAAGCCCTGCAACTAGGACATGCAGCGGGAAGTGATTGCAGCAGCTGGCCCTGCCCTGCTGGGACTTCACAACACAGGAATAAACATTTCTCTGCTACTTTGTCCTGTTTGCTTAATTAACCTGCCTCCCTGCTATCTCCCTGAGCGAGGGGACAAGAGCAGCGGCAAAAAGACGAGCCCTCACATCTGTCACAGAGACACACAATGCAATTAAAAGTTAATAGACACAGACGAAGGCGAGGCAAAAGTATGCTTTTACCCTTTCTTCTCCCCTTTTGTCACCAGAGGGTTTGTTTACTGAAGCCTTTGAAGTCCTCCCTCCCCATCCTCTCTGCAGCCACCTCCCCTCTGTCGCCTCTTTGCCTTCCCTGACAACGTGATGCAGGTACGTAATATTGAAGATGAGCAGCGGCGGCACCGCAGCGGAGGCAGCCGCACAGGTGAAGTCAGAAAATATTCATTTCAAATTGGATTTTCTCTTCCGTTCGCTATCTCCTGAATTGTATTAGCACACAGGGCTGAGAGTGGCGTGTGATGAAGGGAGGGCCCGTCCATCGAGCGACGGTAAGACTATTGGAAGCGTCGGGGAGGAACCAAACGCACATCAAATCAATTCCAGCAGGCGAGGGGAAGCAGGCCCAGGTTGAGGACTCTGTGACACATGCGCCTCTGTCAGAGATTATTTCTCTTCCCTCCCCGCTTCCACCTTTTTAATCTCATTTAGCTTGGCAGCACATGCAAATTATTGTGAATTAGGGAGATAGGTGTGACGAAAGGTGGAAGGGAACAACGGGAGAAGGAGGTCGAACCTTAACATTTTAGAGGAAACTTTGCAGATGGTTACTTCATTTTCCTTACCCTAATATTTCACCTTAAAGCCTCTCTTAGCAGCTTTTGTGTCGAAATCTGTCATACATGTGCTACATGTTAGTGAACTGACACCGAATCTCCGTTGAGGCGTTGCTCCAGGCTAACTTACCTCTCATGTTTTAGCGTATCTAAGGCTATTAGATTTTGCTGTAAAAACCTGATACGTTTTCCCATATTGTTCATATAAACACTCACATTTTAACAATATTGTACATTATGTTGACTATCCAAGACATAAAGTGATCCTCTCTCACTGAATGAATGAACATAGGAAATAAAGTCCTGTTTAAAACATTTTATAAACATCTATTACACCATTGACCCATACATTCACTCGCTTCCTATAGAGGTTTATACTTTATAAGGTCACCGAGAGGATCGAGTGAGTCCCAGAATGCATTGGGAGATAGAGACAGACTCCACTTGTCATTTTATTTAATTTTTATTTAAACTTTCTTATAATCTTTATCAATCAGACGTATTTCCATTATAATTGGAGTGAAACAAACTCAAACCCAGTCAGCTTAGAGGTTTACAGCACTGGAACTAAAGCCATAGTTGGTCTTTTTGTAGAAAATCTCAATCTTTTTTTGAGTTCAAAATGTTTTAAACGCTACATTCATAGTTTACTAATTCAACAAATCATAATCTTAAAGGCACACCTTGTAACTTTTGACCACTAGGGGCGCTAGACCTGTAACTGCCTGTATTTTGCTTCTAATAAACATCTGAAATAATAAAGATATATGATTGTGTACTAGGAGCAAAGTATTAACTTTTGAGCCTAATAAAATTGAAAAAAGAGAATTGATTTTAAATCTTGCTTCTTCTTTCAGCCAGTGAATCAACTCCTTTCCAAGATCGACGCTTGTTTTCCCTCATGCACGATCCCTTTCACGTTTTCTCTTTTTTCTTTGCCTCTGCCATGACCAGCACAACAAAAAATGCCTTCTAAAAAATAAGAAAAAAAATAGTGTTTTAAGTGAATAATTGCTTATTTTGAGCAAAATAATCTGCCAGTGCAGCAAGCAAATGAGACTTGGTAAGATTTCTTAAAACAAGAACATAATATCCAAGTATTAAGCATCCAAAAAAACTTAAATCAAGTATAAAAATCTATTTATCTTTAACTTGTAAAGATTTTTTTTCTCTTATCTTAAGCAATGTATTCTCATTTATTAGTCATTATTGCTTAGAATTTAATAACCTCCAACCAATTATTGCTCAAAACAAGCACAAAACAACAGGCTTGAGATGGGGTCAGTTCTTAAAACAGGTTAATATGGATTGTCTTATTGTCTTGAAACAAGTAAAAATGTACTCACAGTCTAAATGTTAACGCGACTCAGTCCGCAATGTGTGCTATTTTAAGAAAAAAGCTGCTCAGAATTAGTTTTAGTATCTAGTTACGATGAAAAAAATGAATTTTCTTAAATCAAGTCAAATAATCTTAACAATATTCAGTCTTACTAAGAAAATGCATTGAAAAACAAGTGTATTAAGACCAAAATGCTGAATTCAAGTTTATTACACTTGTATAGATTTTCCTTTTTTGCATTGAGTAGTTGAGCAGGCAGAAATACTAGAAGAAAAGCCTTAGCTCCATGACTATATAAGAGCCTGTGGCCGTTGAGCCATACGTTTTTCCAGGTCGAATGATCTGTCCAACAACGGTGTGTCATCTCCCAAATTGCATTGGCGGTATTTCAAGAGGCTAGCCCCACTTGTAGCATTGATACTGACATATATAAGGAAGTCATTAAATATAACTCATATGCGTCAACTCTTTGGATCACACAGACCATGTGCCTTTAATGAAAACTTTGCATTTTCATATTTCATTTCTATAAGTAATCATGATGAACAGCCAGTCAGACTATGAATGTGTTATGCATGCCAGTGTGAACTGTAATCCGACTGGAAAGGGCAGTATATGTTAACCCTTGATCAGGATCCAGTTGTTCTGAATGAGGTAAGCTGACTTGAGAGTGCGTGTGTGCCCTGCGTCAACGTGGCGTATTTCCTCTTTGAGCAGCTAGATGCTAGCCTCGTGAGACCCTCCTGATCTCGCGAGCTTTCAAGGTTTCACTCGCACATCAGTCTGGAGACTCTCCGTTAAAGAACATTTGGAGCTTTTCACCAAACGAACGTCTAATCAGCGTTGGCTTTGAGGCGGGTTGAGGTGTGACGCAACGAGAAGCGCAACAGTTCAGTCTAAAGAACATAGCGGCTTCAGCCGATGAAACTAGCATTAGCGTGGCTATCGAGCAAGTTTTATCGGAATTACAGAGTATTTCTTCACTGAAAGAAGAGCAAAACACTGCTCTGGAGGCTTTTCTCAGAGGAAACGATGTTTTTGCTCTTCTCCCGACTGGTTTCGGCAAGAGTTTGATCTATCAATTGGCTCCTCTTCGTCGTCGCTCTGTTAGTACGTCATATGCTTCGTTGATCTGATTGGTTTATTTGGCCCGTCTATCACCAACATAGGCCAATCAGCTAACCAGTATTTTCGCCCCTTCCCAAAATTACTTCAACGGAATATTTCCAGATGGATATGCGGAGCAAATCCATCTGGCGGAGTCAGGTTAGTTAGATTCTATCACGATATTTCCATCGGTATGTTTACAAGACTCATCTTCAGTTGGTCGGCTTTTTTATTGTGATTATGCTGATTTATCTCCATTTAAACTGTAAAATAAATTTTTATCTCGGTTTATACTGCAAAGTAATTGTCTAAATATTAGTAGAAATGTCTTTAAAAAAGTGTTTTCATTCTTAATCTGAGCAGATAAATAAGGTAATCTGCCAAAGAAATAAGCAGTTTTGCCATTGAAATATGAAAATTAGATATTACATTGCAAGAACGATCTTAAAATAAGTCAACAGTTCTTAAATTAAGTGTATATACCTTTAATTGGGCAGGTAAATAAGATGATTTACCAATGGAATGAGTATTTTTTACTCTTAAAATAAGATAATTAGATAATATGCACTTGAAATAAGACAACGCAATAGTTTTTTCTTACTTTAAATATAAATTGTTTTGTTCTATTGTCAAAGGGTCTCACTTTCCTGCTCCATTCAAGCAAAATGCATCTATTTTTAGTAAAAATCACTTACTTAGATAAAAAAAATGCAGTGGGTTTATTATTATATTATTCTCTTAGAAGTTGCTAAGTATTTTTTATTCTAAATGTAAATCATCTTATTAAATAGGGAAATTGTCTTACCTGCTCAAATCAAGGGGAAAATACATAAATTTGAACTCCCTTTAGAAATTGAGAGTTATAACAAAACTCCTCAGTTAAGTCCAGAAGTTAAATCCACTGACCTCCAGAATGAAAACAGGAAACTGAGTGAGCTCCTCCATCACAGAGGCGTGATACTCTGTCTGACTGAACACCGGCGCTTCGTCGTTGCGGTTGACCACCTGAACCACCACCAGCGTCTCATTCTCCCACTTCCCGTCAGAAGCCACCAGCCGCAGCTCGTAGTGCTGCTCCATCTCATAATCCAGAGGCTGAGCCACGAAGATGGTGCCCACCTCTGGCTCCACGTCGAAGGTCCCCATGGCGTTTCCTGAGGTTATCTGGTAGCGTAGCTTAGCATTGGCGCCTAAATGGAAGACATAAAGTCCCAGTTAGTTTTAGCTGGTTTCACTGTTTTCCTTTTTTTTTCTTTTGTCACTTATTTTTCCTGCTCAGAAACTCATGTTAAATTTAGTCATCTTTGTATTCAGATGTGTCCTTCAATAAAAAAAGTATACGATTTTAAATAGATTAATATTCTCACATTGAAAACCATCTAGATTGATGCCTTTGAATCCCACTTTGGGAGATAAAACAAAAAACAAAACAACCGTAAACACAATAACCTGAGTTATATGTAGCTCTCTTTAACATTTTTATTGCTGACAGGAGAACATTTTTGATGGCAGGAGGAATCCAAGAACCGATGGCCCATGTGGACAGAAGCAACAGATATGACATCACAGATGTGGGGCTCATTAGATGCTCTCGCCTCAACGTCTCGTCTGTCTCAGGCCTGTTCAAGGAAATATTGTTTCCAGTACTTTAGAGAATTTTACCTTGGCTAAAATTATTTTCCTGCAGATTCAAAATGAAGGTCTTCTTACGCAATAAATAAAAAAACTCTCTATAATGTCATTTGTAATGGGTTTTAGGCTTCAGTCTTGCACTTTGTAGCTTTTTGTTCACACCTAAATCCAAAGAAGAACCTCAGGCTACGTTCACACTTCTAGCCTTGATGCTCAATTCCGATTTTTTTTTGTGAAATCCGATTTTTTTGCGTTGCCGTTCACATTTCCAAACACATGCGACTTGTATGTGATCTCTGTTGGGTTCAGAAAATGTAGGTTTTTGTAAAAGGAAGAACTGAAATACACAGTAAGGGATTTTTCATACGGCTTCTGCAGAAGGAGAGACATTTGAACCCCAGACTCAAACACACCGTCTCCCACCGGACATCCTCCGCAGAGCGTTTTATTAACAGAACATGACACATGGTTACAAACAGAGTATTGTTCTGACAGAACGATTGATCAGTTCGTAAAGACAGGATGCTGCACTAGAATGACAAGGCAGGATGGTCTCCTGACTGAATCATGAGACACAGTGGAGCATCCCCTTGCACAAATGTTTCATAAGCACACATTAATTTTATAATCATCATTGAACAAACCTAACAATCTCCTGTGTGAACTACAGTCATACAACGCAAGTGTCCTGCATGCGCAGTAGAGGACGCAATGACATCACCACCAGTGTGCTCTGTTTATGGATGTAAACATGGATGGTAGCGCCAGAGCGCATCTAGCGATCTTTCCAAACCATAAAAACACACTCTTTTCAAGATGGTTAAACCAAAATAGTGCTCTCTGCATCATCGTCTGCCATGGTTGTTGTTTTTCTTGCCACTTCTTCATAGCAAGACCCAGAATAGTGACCTTTGTCAGGTATTAATGCTGTTCAGGTCGGATGAATGCAACCTGGCCGTTCAGACACAGGTCGCATTTCAAAAGATCAGATTTGCATCGGAATCAGGACCACATAGCCAAGTGGCCTAGGTCGCATTGGAAAAAAATCGGATCTGTGATGTTCAGACAGCCATGAAAAGATCAGATAAAGGTCGCATATGGGCCAAAAAAAATGCTGTAATGTGAATGTAGCCTAAGTGGCAGCATAGCTGGCTTTGAATACTCATTTATTTTGGAGATGTCTTATTTCAAACTACACTTTTCCTAAGGCCTGTTTTAAATAATAGCAGCTAATTGAGGTGCATTCGTACAGGGAGAAAGCCGCTCTGGTTACTTTGTTTTAATAAAACCTGCAATCAGGTATTGACAAGATCAAACACTGCATCTTTAAATGTTCATTTTCATTGCGTGTTTGTTTTTTTTAACTACAGGGATGCATTGATTACTGTTATACACTTTTACAATGACAATCAAGTGTTCGAATTGATTCGTGAGAACAAGTAACTCTCTCGCCTTCTGTGCTCCTGTGATGCTGCTTCGAATGTACCTTGGAAATGGTCGTATGGATTGATTTATGTTCAGACATTTGACAAACAGATGTCATTAGGTATGACTGAGCTCTCTTGGTAATCTGATATTGCTTTTTTTGTTGAGAATTATCGCCTTGTGTTTTGCATTCTCCAGATCGTTGAAGGTCATACCAACACAGGTTACTATAATATGAAAATGCTGCAATGAATCAGTATTTCATAACGTAAATCACACTGTAAACCTGCCCTGGTAAATTTAAACAGCTGCTGTTTACGGTATGCCTGAAACGCCACAATATGACAAGTAAAAAAACAATTAAACTGAAAAAAAAAAAAATAATCGCACCATAGTCATAGGGATAAATATTGGATTTTTTTTACTCTGTAATGCTGCGACTTTATATCTTTTTTTTTTTTTTTTCAAAGTTCTTTGTCCAAAATGTGAACATTCCAGAAAAGAAACAAAGATGTTTGAGGGGAGTGAAGGAAGCCATCTATGTTAAGAAAGAAAAAACTACCTAACAGAGGGGGTGACTCAGGTTTCAGCTTTCAAAAACCTACAATGCAGCAATAGAGTTAATTCCTTCCCTCTATCATTGCAAGCCCCACCCCTAATATTGCTAGCCTCGTGAGACCATCCTGATCTTGTGAGCTTTCAAGGTTTCACTCGCTAATCAGTCTGGAGACTCTCGATTAAAGAAAATTTGGAGCCGTTCACCAAACGAACGTCCAATCAGCGTTGGCTTTGAGGCGGGTTGAGGTGTGACGCAACGAGAAGCGCGACAGTTCAGTCTAAAGAACATGGCGGCTTCAGCCGATGAAACTAGCGTTAGCGTGGCTATCGAGCAAGTTTGATCGGAATTACAGAGTATTTCTTCATTGAAAGAAGAGCAAAACACTGCTCTGGAGGCTTTTCTCAGAGGAAAAGATGGTTTTGCTCTTCTCCTGACTGGTTTCGGCAAGAGTTTGATCTATCAATTGGCTTGTGCATGGCTTGTGGTTGTGTTTTCGTCGTCGCTTTGTTAGTACGTCATATGCTTTGTTGATCTGATTGGTTTATTTGGCCCGTCTATCACCAACATAGGCCAATCAGCTAACCAGTATTTTCGCCCCTTCCCAAAATTACTTCAACGGAAGGTTTCCAGACGGATATGGGGAGCAAATCCATCTGGCGGAGTCAGGTTATAGTATTGCAGGCTAACAAGAGAACCCAAATGACTGCCCATTCCTAAGGGGTGGACCCATTCGTCCGGTTCAATTTGCATGTTTTCTAAGCCAAAACAAGGCTTTGTTTTTGTTCCACTCTATAAAGCCTTAAACTTAACTTTATTCTGACATTTTGAATAGAAAAAGCTTCCTGGATGGGAAGTGAAACGTCTTCAAACTTGGAAACAAAGTCCAGTTTTTACTTTTTTGGAATTAACATGACCTGGATGACTGAGAATCTTCACCAGCATGGCTCTCATGACATTTAAGTTGTTATGATCTAACCACTGCTTCTGTCACTGTGGCCCTGGCAACATGTGGCTACAATACAGCTCTCCACCATGAGTCTGGGAATGGAGTATAAAGTGCTTGGAGGTGCTCTGACTTAAGATTTTACTGACCACCCTCGGATCAAACAGCATTGGAGGGACACGTTTTCATGAAACAATTAATTAAGCTAATATATTTTCAGCTGATCCGGATGAATAAGAATCTGCTTAAAACCTGATGATTGTCTGTGACAAATGTCATCAAAGTTTAAAGTCCTACACAATAAAACAAGTTTAGATTCATGGTGTAGTTCAACTATTGCCACGATTTAATAACAAAAAAGTAATACTGATTAGATTCTTTTAAAAAAAAAAATTGATATTCTATAAAAGAAGAATTAAACTAGCTTTCTCCGTTTGTGGCATTACTTCCCCCTCAGCCTTCCCACTGGTCCTTGGTTTCTTGTCTTGATGCCTTGGCTCTCTCCTTATCTTCCAAGCCTTTGCTTTGGGTATTTTACTCCCTCTTTTGGGTCTTTTACTCTCGTTATGTGTGTCTTTTACTGTCTGTTTTGGGTCTTTTATTCTCATTTTTGGGTCTATTGCTTTGGTTTTTAGGTCTTTTACTCTTTTTTTTCTCTCTTTTTCATCTTTTTCTCTCATTTTGTGGGTCTATTGCTTTGGTTTTTAGGTCTTTTACTCTTTTTTTCTCTTTTTTTCTCTCTTTTTCATCTTTTACTCTCATTTTTGGGTCTATTGCTTTGGTTTTTAGGTATTTTACTCTTTTTTTCTCTCTTTTTCATCTTTTTCTCTCATTTTGTGGGTCTTTTACTCTCCTTTTTGGGTCTTTTACTCTCGTTTTGGGGTCCTTTACTTTGCTTTTTTTTTCACTACTCTTTTCTCACTTATTAACATTTATATTTCTTGTAACGTTTATTCTTCTATCCTCCTTTTTAAAAGCTAATCTTTTTAGCTTTTTCTCCTCTATTGTTTCTCCCCTCACAGTCCTGCCATCCTCATGCCATCCTTCCTTTGTCAATGTCTCCCCTGACATCTTGTATTTCCTTTTATCTCTCCTTTCAGCTTTCTCTTCTCTCTCTTTTCCCATGTACTCTCCTCCCCATCCCTTTTTTTCATTTTCTCTATCGGCCTCTCTTCTACCCTCCTGATAAAGTGAAAAAACACCCAATGGATGAGGTAAACACACACACAGATGCATGTTCATAGCCCAGAGGCAGGTCTGTCTGAGTCCAGCCTGCTCTCTGTTTACCGGCACCAAGGAGACTTTAGGAGACAAACACCATCTGTAGAGACATGGAAGAGCTTCATCACTACATTGGAGAGAGCGTGCGCTTCTGTGTCTTTGAGGAAAAGTTTAAGTGCACCGGTCCGTCACAGCCTTGAAGCACAATCTGCGGTGACATTTGAGCGAGCGGCTCGGTGCGCGTGTGTAAACCGGAGAGCGTGTAAATGTGTGTAAGGGGAGTAGCTACAGAGGTTTTTAGCCTCCGGCGGCCTCCCTAATGATCAGCCTGGCCATATGGTGTTGCCCTCCTAACGCATACACAACCACACACATGCACACACACACACACCAGGGGACAGGGTTGATTT